CGAGGCAGCAGCAGCAGCAGCAGCAGCAGCAGCAGCAGCAGCAGCAGCAGCAGCAGCAGCAGCAGCAGCAGCAGCAGCAGCAGCAGCAGCAGCAGTAGCAGTAGCAGCAGAAATTGTTTCATGTCTTTCTTTTGTGGCTGTGCATGTTGGGATATTGAACAAACGAGGAAATAATCGAAGACGAATCTTGTACCTTATTGACAGAACGTCTTTCTGAAAAGTTGAGATCAGGATTGGCTCTTCAGGATGTCCGGGAAAGGTTTGGAGACATGGTGGCGTTTCAGACTTTCTACAGATCACAGCTCTGCGACGACTTTCTTTGCGCTGTAACACATTTGTAACAACTAATCTCGCGCAAACCTGATCGCCGTCACTCAGGCGTTAGATTATTTTGCTGCGCTTCTCAAGACTCTGGAACGGAAAGACATCAGAGAGAGGAGTGATGATGAATCTTTTGTTGTCACAACAGGTTGGTAGAGACGATGTCTAGTTGCGATCAGCACGACTTAACTAGATCGCAGAGGAAGAAAAGGCATCCAGCATACTTGATCAGACAATGAGAGAAGTTTCGACGTAAGGAAGAAGGAAACATATTTCTTTGTTTGTAATCTATCACCCAGATATTACTGTTTCATCATAATGCATTACAGCAAGTCGCAAGCTGCGCAACAAGACCGAAAATTCTTCGAGACCCTCTACGCCTTCGTTTCCAACATTGTTTGCGCTGCCTTCCCCTTTCAACACAGGTCTTCATCTTCTCTTGCATGTCAGAGCCACTCTGAAGAGAGACCTTTCAACAGCTCGACGATCGAAGATGAACTTGGAAGAATATTTCGAACTGAGACCTTCAATCTAACGCGTCGCAAGAACGATGCGAATCATCCAACGAAGCAGTTCTACACAGCGAAAGAACTCTTCGTCTTGAAGAATTCAGGTGAGTTTCTTCTTGTGTGTCCAAGTTGTCTCGAGGAGCAGAGGAGTGAGGGGCAACGGCAGGTGCAGGCCTTTCAGGGAAGAAGCTAACCAATTCCTTGCATGCTCGTAGACAGATCAACGCCTCGGTGTGTTGCGCTTTTCATGCTGTTGTGATATCGATTGTGCTCATGCTGATTCAAGGTCAACGTTGCAATGAAGCAAAGGAGTGCTCTTACGGCAAAACTGCTACCTACCACCCACTCGATTCTGGAGCAGATGAACCAAAGTCGAGATGTGATCATATCATTGTTGCCTCTATGTGCAGATCTGATAATATCGGCAGAGCATTGCGAGATCCCGCAGCTCTGAAAATTTGTCAAGAAACGAATCTCGACAGGTGCTGCAATGACAGGATTTATTTTTGTTGTCATGATGATTATTTTGCAAAGAGCTCAAAACTCAGGATGAGAAAGGCCTATCCCCAAAGAGACAGAGAGAATCAAACAAGATCGGCGACACCTTCCAGGTTACGTTATGATGATGTTATGGTGGCGATGGCCCTTACCTTTCAGTTGGACAGATTTTTCAAGCAAACCCCAGATGTTCCTGATATTCTCGTTTCCAAACTTGGAAGATCATTGAGTTTCGAATATGACTAAAAGCCTGGAACCCGACTGAAATATGACCGGAATAAAAACACTTTTCTTTTTTCTTTGAGATACTTCAGTGAAGTCATTGATGAAGCTTTGGTGTTTGTGTTGTTTCACATGAAGATATTCAATAACTTTCTTTCACAAACGACAATGAAGATGAAGGGTGATCGCTGTACCCCATGCTCATTACAGTCCTGCTTGTTCAGTTAGATTTTCTCTTGCCAGGGGTCATAACAATGTTTTTCGAAGGTTGTAGAGTTTGTGCGAACAAATGTCTTGTGGAGAGGACGAAGGGAAGACAGAAGAAACTAGTGTGCCTTTGTGAATCATGGTCGTAAATCATCTTCGCAATGAACTACATCCAACCTTGTGCATTTTGTTTATCAACTCGACGAAAAAACGATCTGTTTGCAATTGTATTGCAAGGCAAGTTGAAACATTTGCATGCGCTTCTATGACGCGTTCACTATGTCTGCAACGAACTTTGCCATGTCCCTGTTGTCAAGTCAAAACAACCCCGGACATCTCATACGAACTTTCAGACCTCTGCTCTTGCTGGCATGTAGAATGCGGCAAGTCGTCATAAGATTTCGCAACTACCTTGAGCCCATGCTCCTGCAGCGCTTTCACCTGACAACAGCAAGTCACCACATAGGTACGGAGAGAATCGATCCAGGGGGACGAGGAGAGGAGTGTACGAGCACAAGGGAATGGACGGTGTCGGGGGTCAGAGGAGAGGATGATGGAGGTAGAAGGTTGAGCAAAACAAAATAGATGAAAGAGGAAGGAGATCAGCAAGATGAAGGACAGGAGGAGGAGGTAGGTGGAGGTAAAGAGAGGGAGAGGAAGAGTCTGACTGGACTCACTCCAATCTCCTGATTCGAGAAGTGGACTGTCATATCGTCTGCTCCGTGCCCCCAGAAGATCGGAGTCTCTTTGTTCGCCTCCTGGGTCCAGCTCCTAAAGCGAGCATCACAAACGAAAGACAGCTATCGCAGGCATGCTCACGAAAGCCCATTGCGCTCCATCAGCCAACCGCTGAAACAGATCGCACCTCCCAGGCGCTTCGGGTACCTTCGGGTGCCTGATGTGACGATGAACCACACAAAGCATCCACAGACCTCAAGACAGACTGGATCGACAACGCCTGTTGACAAGAAAGCAACCCGGTCAGGATGGGGGAGTTTGATGGGTGTATTGTCTCACCCCTCCTTGTGAGAACCCTCCAATTATGATGTTCTTGGAATCAAAACCAGCTTTCTCCAGATCTCCGATCATGTTGTGTATGATCCCCACAGAGGACTGATGCCGCTATGAGTTCGCCTTCTTCCCTTTGCCAGACCTTCACCTTAATGTCATCGGGGTAATCTTTGGCGTCCGGCATGACAGGAATTTCCTTCGTTCGACGTCAGACGCAATCACGGAGAAACGAGCGGGGCAGAGCAAGGATGTGAAACAGGATGGATGTATCCTCTCTTCAAAATCCTATGTGAAGGAATGAAACGGGGAGGAGAAGCAGAGAAGAAGAGGTGAGGTGAAAACTTCAGTTTTCGTACCTCAATGTCGAACCAAGATGTCATTCGGTAACCACCATTGCACGTGACAGGCGCAATCTATGAACACCTCAGCATGGAAGAGATGGTTCAAGATGGCGGATCTTTGTTACCGGGGCATCGGGGAAGCGCCACTCGATGGGAGCTCCGATGTTCACCTCTCCCTGAAAACCAGCGATCTCGTCAATTGGGTTGGACCGGATTGAACCATTGACAAACAGATCTTAGCATCAGAGCCGCAGGAGACAACCGAGGTCAACACATAACACTTCGGGTCGAGCTACAGGTCACACATCGTGTGACTCTGACTCCGACGACGAGTTGTGGGAGGAGGTTGGGGAACAGGGATCGGCGAAGCAGGCACCTGCTGTCCGTTGTGGTGTCCCAGGTACGAGCAGGAGATCAACGATCAGCATCAACAAGGAGCAGAGCATCATGCGATACAACAATCAACCATCACGCCTCACCCTCAAATTGCTCCAGCTGCTTCCACGATCACCAAGGCCATGGAGCCAGATCACGGCAATTCGTGCCGCCATGGCGGTGAAAACCTGGGTGAAATCCAATAGCTCATTGGGTTTTGCTAATCCTTTTTAAAGAAGGACTAAACCCATTAAGCTAAAGAAGGCCCTGATCGGCCGGGAGGGCCCGATAAAATTCCCGGGTCCGGTCATAAAGCCCCCGGCCGGCGTACTGACTGACTGAATTTGTGCGACAAAGTGAGGCCATGGCCGGTGCGACTGCTCAAGGAACTTTAAAGGGGTGGGGTTATCACCATCACACCCCTGTTAAACTCACATCGATCGCTAGATTGGGCAGGTAGGGTTGCTAACATAAGGGGTTGTGATAGTGTTGGGGTGGTGAGGGATGCTAGGATGAAGGGGTGTGTGGGGGGGGTGTATACCAGCCCCGGGAAGGGATGTAGTGGGTCAAGGCACGTGCCTTGGCAGGCGGGTATGGTACTGGCATTTTAGGGTGGGGGTGAAGTGTGGGTGGGGTTCATGGGTAGTGGTACGTGCAGTTGGCAAGTAAAGCTGATACCCTTTATTCATCATAAATTGATTTAGAGATTCGTGCATGTGTAGGGGTCACCAAATAGAGGACAGAGTTGGGTTGGATTAGAAGGGTTGCAGGGTTGGGTAGTGGTGGGTGGGGGGCAACCGTCAACTGAATTCAAGGGGCAGCAAGCCGGGGGAAGGGCGAGGGGTGGTATCTCATAAAGATTTGTACCAATACGAAGGGTCTGAAGAATTCTTCGATCTCATGGGTGGGTAGTAAAATGTACCGGTTAGATAAAGTCTAAATCATGGATTAAATCACGGGTAGTTTGATTTGAGAGGAGGTAGGGGTGGGCCCAGGGCAAGTCCATTGACGTAAAGTTGACTGAAAAGGAAAAAAAGCCGAGGAGGGTGTAGCAAGTTACAGAGGGGTGGGGTAACCTTCTCAACTATCAATTAGTAGGGAAGGGTGGGTAGGGCTATCTTCGCAAATGAGGATTGAAGGGGTACTTCATCCTCAGAAGTGGATGGTGGTAACCCTGAATGCGAGATCATAGCATCTACCTCTTGAATGATTGGTTCCACAATTAAGAAAAGTGCCAGGAATGTACCAGTTGGACAACAGGGTATTGGCTATAGCTCAGCTTTGAAGAGCACCCCCCGGGGGGTCAAAAGAGTTGGGGTGGTGTCTTGGCAAGCGAACTCCGGGAGAGCTGAACATAAGGGGTGGGGTCCTATTCATGGAGGGTAGGTCGTATCGTAGTCTCTACCAAGTTCCTCGGACCCAAACAAGGATATCCAGGTGCTACCCTTTACCCATCATTTTGTGCTAAAATGTTGGGGTAGGACCTTTGTCGATACCGATTAGGGTGAGGCGTAAGGATATGGCGGGGGTCAGAGAATGATGAAAGCGGGCCCTGTAGGGTGGGTGGGAATCTCGGAGGACTAGGTGGGGTAGTAGTCATAGATTGGGTTTGTGGAGGCCGTTTGGCATTTCGGGGTGAGGTCCGGGAATCTAAAAGGGTGGGTGAGTGGGTGAGGGTGGGACAAAGTAATAGAGGTGGGGTCAGGTATGTCTGATGGAAATTCCCTACAAAAAGACGAGCAAGTGGGGTAGGTTAACATCTCAATTGTAGGGTGGGGTATACAATGTAGGATCGGTGGGTGGGTCCGTGAAGTAAATTGCGGGGGTAGTGGTGGGGCACTCAATGAAAGCGGGATATTCGGAGGTAGGGGTAGTGAGGAAACAGGGGTCAAGGGGTCAGGAGATCGGGGGACAGGGGGTGGTACTGGAGGGGGTGGTGTAGTGTTGGGAACGTGCAGCGACGACACGCGTCCTCGAGTTCAGAATGCAGAAGGAGCAGAGAGCTTTGACCGTTCCCTCCACCCAAGAGAGGGTCATCGCCATCGCCAAGGATTGGCTTGCTGGTGGTACTGCAGCTGGTATCTCGAAGACCGTCGTTGCTCCCATCGGTGAGTTGTATGATTTTTTCGTGGTTGATGGATGAGGACCGGGGGAGGGGGGGGCGGGGGGTGCAAGAAGAGTACTGAGGATAGGTTGAGTGGCAGTCTGTCGGGTATAGGTGATAGTAGGGTGAGATGATCTATTTAATGTAGTGCTAATGATCCTTGCAAATATTTTGCCGATAGACCTGGAACATTCACAGATGCTTTAGATTCTTTGCTGTTTCGCTACAACGAACTGAGAAAGCAATTCTGCTCGATTGGTTAACTTTGGTTTATTGATTGCAATATGCAGAGCGTGTCAAGCTCCTCATCCAGACTCAGGATGCCAACCCCAAGATTGCGAGTGGAGAGGTCCCTCGCTACACTGGCATCGTGAACTGCTTTGTGCGCGTCTCGAACGAGCAGGGTGTCAACTCCCTCTGGCGTGGAAACCTTGCCAACGTTATCCGTTATTTCCCCACCCAGGCCTTCAACTTTGCATTCAAGGATTTCTTCAAGTCAATCTTCCCCAAGTACAATCAGAAGACTCAGTTTTGGCCCTGGTTCGGAGTTAACATGGCTTCTGGTGGTCTTGCCGGAGCTGCCTCCCTCCTCATTGTTTATCCTCTTGATTTTGCTCGTACCCGTCTTGGTGCTGACGTTGGCAAGGGTGCTAACCGTGAGTTCAACGGCCTCGTTGACTGTGTTATGAAGACCGCCAACCGTGGAGGTGTGATGTCACTCTACCAGGGATTCGGAATCTCCGTTGCTGGAATCATCGTGTATCGTGGTGCCTACTTCGGTTTCTATGACAGCGCTGTTGGTGTATTCAAGCCCAACAACGTTCTCATGAAGTTCCTCATCGCTCAAGCTGTTGTTGCCTCCTCTGGCATTGCTTCCTACCCCTTCGATACTGTTCGCCGTCGTCTCATGATGCAGTCTGGCGCCAAGGAGAGGCTTTACAACGGAACTATTGATTGCTTTGTCAAGATCTTCCAGAAGGAGGTGAGAAGCATGAATGAAGAAGTTTCGGTTCTAACTGTAAATGGCAGGGTTTTAACGCCTTCTTCAAGGGAGCCGGAGCTAACGTTTTGCGTGGCATGGGTGGTGCTTTGGTGTTGGTTGGTTATGACAAGATCAAGGAGTTTATCAACCCGGATGCCAAGGGAGGCTCGTCCAGCGAGTAAGCTGATATCTGCAAATAACTTTTGTTTGTGAGTATGCAAAGCTTGGCAAACAGTTCGAAACGTTCTTGACATAATTTCTTGCATTAATCATTACAGTTTTTTTATTGGTTTGAACTTCAGATCATTTATTCGCCCTCTATCTTGATGTATTTGATGGATGACTTTCTCCTTACCATTGCTTTTCTTGACATGAAAATCTGCAACATGTCCTTTAGCGAGTCTACCGCGTAAAACAACACGGATGTTACATGTTTAGCATCGGCAAGTGAAAGTTTGTCGTTCTGGCCGGTTGATCTCTCCTGACTGTTTTGTGTATCCACGCTGTCGTTTCGCGTTCTGATATTATGTTGAGAACTCAACTTCTTTCCTCCTGATACCGAAATCTCCTGCAGAATCTCGAAACGATTACAAAAACTTTGCAACCTCAATCACAGATACCCTTCCACGCTCGGAGCGAGCATTCCATGCAGATCCAATCACATTCAAACCGTGAAGAGTCATCTTGTTCTGTTTTAGTCGCATCAGAAAGGACCGAGTTGCATTTTCAGGTACATGGCTGTAATCAAATGTTCGAAGTGTGGAGTTTTGAAGTAGGCTTTCGGCAAGTAGCTGAGCAACTTCATCTGTTATGCCACAGTTGTGTATGGTGAGAAACTTCAATCTTGTGTTCACTGCGAGAGCTTCTGCAATTTCTGGGAACAGGCTTGAGGCACCAAAGATCAGTTATCCCACAGCAGAATGTACCATCGTCACCTCTCCATGTTTGCAAGGTTCCATGCAACAGCATCCTCGACCTTGTCATCTTTGATTGCCTGCAGAAAGTCCTCCGGCGTCTCGAACCATGGCATTGCCTCAAGCTCGCAATCGTTTAGCCGGGGGCCTCGTTTTAGTCTACTTGAGTCTCTACCTCTGTTGATCCGCGTAATCCTAAATTAGGGTCTCTTCCCTGTCGTCATACGAGTCTGTTTCCTGTGGGTGCTGCGACTTTAGCGCTCTATCCTCTCCCTCCTCCCTCCTCCCTACTTCCTCCTTCCAGCCTCCGCCCTCCTGCTCTTTGATAAACGGAAGAAACAAAAAACAAAAAAGAATATTGTAAAATGTTTGAAACGGTCTATAACGCTTTGATCTCGCCAACAGCCATATTCGCCATGGCTAAAATTGTTACTGGAGGGGTAGCGGGAGCGCGAGTTTCGATGTCGGTGGACGGGGTAGGAGGAGAGGAGGAGGCATGGTGAGAGCAGCAAGATGTAGTAGAAGATCGCAGCCGTCCTGTTGGTTGAGGTTCAGGCTGGTGCGAATGATGCTGGGGTGGTTTTGTTGGTGTCCCAGAGCAGTCAGAGTTGACCGGGGGAGGGGACAGAAGGAGCAAGGTGATGCTGTACTGGAAGCTAGCATTCGAACTGATAGAAGGGGAGGCTTGCATGGGCTGTTTCATCCTACATCAGCTGTCTCATGACTTGTGTCTTCCAGGACATGCAAGCGAGGACTTGCTTGTGGCTTGTCGTCTCGCTCCTTCTCTGCCGTCAGGCAGCAGCAGCGAGTTTTGACCCCAACTCTCCTCCGACATCGGACGAGGTGATATCTAGCTGCTGCTCTTCTCCTTGGCTCAGCTGTTTACGTCTGCTCACCTTCTCCGTGCGTACAGATCTACCTCGACATGCCATGGGGAGGTTCGCCGGTCGTGTCCTCCGAGGTAGGGGCGGAGCCGCAGGCCATGGATGATCCTGAAACCATGGAGTACACTGCCGGCACGTGCAGAGACCCCCAGGTCTCTCCCACCACCTGCTCACCGGACTGCATGTCGGCATGCCGATCGCCCCTATGCTCGTTGAACTGCCTCTGCGCTTGCAAGAACGCGGAGCATCGAGCGATGGTGATCGCGTTGCTGAAGGAGAGGATCGTGAGCTCGCCCATGCTGGCGCAAGAGTTTGTGCGGATAGAGGAGGGTGGCAGGCATGCTCTTGTGGCTCAAGATCGACTGCGCGCAGACTTGGAGCAGACGAACGAATGAAGGCGAGCGGACGAGACTGTTCCTAACGCCAAGAGAAGCGAGGAGGAGCAGTGAAGTGCGAGTCAATGTTTGAATCTTGTTGCTTGCACGGTGGACGGCGAGGGAAGGAGGAGGAGCAGAGAACAACGTGATGACGGCTTGTGTGGATGAGAGTAATCAGTTGCACTCTTGGATCAGAACAATCCCAGGCGATTGCAGCAAGTATTTGTTCCATAATGTTTTTCATTTGTTGTGAGATTGAAGAAACGAGCTAAACTGAGCTTCTTGCAACTTTTGCCTGTGAGTGCGTCTAGGTGTAAATTTTCGTCCACGTCTCGGTGTGGGGTGACGAATGGACTCTGTTTGTTTGTATCTGCGACCTCGTCAGGACTAGAGTGTGAACCTGAGGCGTCAAGCATGTCAGATCTCAGCAACATGAGACGACTCGCAAACCTCCTCCTCCACGCTGCCTCCCCTAACAACCTTCTGAGCAATCTCAAGGGACACCTGAAGGACGCGGTGAGGGGGAGGCTGACAGCTCACTGCTCCTCACCTCCGTTCCTTCCTCACCCTTGACAAGCTCCAGGACCTGAAGGAGCGTGAGACGCGCGTGCCAGCCGCCACATCCTCCTACCTCAGCGAGCGACATGTCGTCCACGACTTGCTCGTTCACTTTGAGCAGGCGGTCCATGACCCGAATCCTCCCGTCCCCCTCCACGGATCCTCCGCTGTGAATCTTCTTGACGAACACCTTGCCAGTCGCCTCGTGCTTCTCCAGCAGCATGCCGACTCCAGCAGTCTTCCTTCCCCCCATGGCGCTGGCTGATTCTCGATCGCGACTCGACGGCGCATGCGCGGGCTGATCGGCGTGCGGCGTTTGAGCCGGCTTCTTGTCGCCTTCTCTTGTCGCTCCATCGACGTTTCTCTCCCCATCCTGTTGCGCGTCAACTCTTGCGATTGAGGGAGCAGCGAAGGCGTGCAACATCACCTGCAGAGGAGCTGGAGTACCAGGAAGGGCAGGAACAGCGGGAGAGACAAGGGGAGGAGCAGCAGAAGGAGCAGCAGAAGGAGCAGGGGAAGGGGCAACAGCAGCAGGCGGAGGAGGAGCAGCAGGAAGGGAGGGGCCCGAGGCAGGAGACGTATGAGGAGCTTCCTCGTTCTTAGTTTTGAACTCCCTCAACTCCTTCAGTTCGTGAATGAGCACAGCCTGGTGAACATGAGGAGGAGCAAAGCGAGGGCTACAGCGTTACCCTGTGCTGGTAAGTCTCTTCCAGCTCAGCTCTGTGGCAAGCCCGTCAGTGCTGCTGCTGCTCGCCTGCTGCCGGCTCACCTGAGGCCCTGGTTCTCTTTCTCTCGAGCATCGAGCTCGAGGCTGAAGTACTTCTCCGCGTCCTGAAGGTCCTTGAGGTCTGTGCTCGTCATCCTCGGCTGCAGCTGGTCGCTCACTATCGGAGGTCAAGGAGGGGGAAGCCTACCGGCCCGTCCAGCGCGTCAAGGAGACTCTCGAGCTCACCGTCTCCTGCTCCCTTGCCGAATCGCAGCAGACGCAACACCTGATTGTGGGAGTGAGAAGAGGAAACGACGACGATGCCTCTCATGCTACAGTTGTACCTCCTCTGTTCTCGATCGTGGGTATTCCGCGATTGACTTCAAAATCTCGATGAGACGCTCTTTTCCTGTAAGAATTCTTAGCTCTGAATCCTTCATGTTGGTCATACAGCCTTCGTCTCACCGAGACCATTTGCGAGCAGCTGATTGACGTTGTGCGCAATCTCTTTATCAAGGAGAGCTTCATCATGTTCGGTGTGTGTAGTCTTCTTCTGTTGGCTGACTAAAGATCCTTGCGAATTCGCTTGTAATGTCATCTCATCGTTTTCGAACCTTGAGACACCAGGTCAGTCGGGCTTGAAGGAGTTGTTCAAGCAAGGCGGGGTACAACCTCTCAAGCTTCGCTGGCTTCATTCGCTTGATGAGTTCCTCATGACAATGAAACAACTTCAACTGCATTGGATCGCATTCAGCACTTTCAAAGTCGACCTGCGCTTCAGAAACACACCTGAAGGTTTGTGAGCCTTGCGGAGAGCAACTGTTCGTTGATGACTCGAAGTCTCTCGATGTTGATGGCTTGATTCAACAGCAGCCTGAGCGAGTACTCTAGATCCACACTGTCGACACCATCTGCCGGCCTGTCACTCCCTTTCGGCAAGGAGCAGCTCTCACCGAAGATGAGCTGCGAATGGTCTCGCGCCAAGAGGAAGAAATCCTCCATCTCACTTGCAGCGCTTGCGTTCGTCCTCCGTACCTAGAGGCACAGGATCAGGAGCACCTTGGAGACACTTGCTTCAGGCGGCACCTCCACGTCTCTGATCTCTCCGCTCCTGGAGCTCTGCACTGTCAACCTGCACTTGGACCCCACCCGGCCATCTCCGTACATGCGCTCGATCAGCTCGTCTTCTCCCATGGACTTCACTGAAGCATCTTCCACTGGCGTTCCACTCTCTCAGACGAGCACATCGCAACAGGGACACTACGAGCCTTACCCGCATGTATCAGATCTCCAACCTGCAGCCCGTGGCACAGGTCGGCCACACTCCCAGGAACAACTGAAGTGACAGTGCAGGATCGAATGGTCCCATCGCCGGCTTTCTCGACTCCTGTCCCATGTGAATCAAACTGATTGGTCGTCAGTGAAGAGATGGGTCACCTATACGGAATGCCAGAGTGGTTTCCGTCATGAAAGACCGGCTGATCAGATCCAATGGTTTCTCATGCACGTCACAGATACTGTTCCTGATATCCTGGAGGCTCCCAGATTCAAAGAAGAAATCAAGAGACTTCACACTGACCTGTAGGATGGCCAAGGCAGAGCGATCAAGAGCAATATCTGAGTTGCTTCTATCTGCGAACTCATAGAGACACTTTTGTTCTTCGTGCGTTTCAACTTCGATGTTCCGCTTGATGACAACATCATAGCACGACTTGTCTGGCCTCTGGAATACTAACTTCACCAAACTGTCCTTGATGCCAGTGAGCAGCTTCTTTACAATCTCTGGCTTTGCCTGATATCATCATCACAATCAATACCTGTTTCCTTCACAAGAAAGTGAGATACCAGCTCAACAGGGAACTCGTCGATTCCTAGCAGGATGTCTCCGACCGTGAACGCTGCCCTCCTGCTTCTGTTCGATGCATCTCTCGCATCAACAACATCCTGTCCTCGTGACAGTCATCGTTTGAACCAGCGCTCGTCAGATACTCTACCTCCACCACGTGAGGGAGCATGTCGGATAGACGAAGTCCGACTGTATACAAGCTCGTGGACTCGTTCACAGTCTCGCAGTCAACGATGTCTTGCACTCTCGCGCCCTGCTGAGGGCTCGGCGACATGAGCGTGTCTGGTGCTACGAAGTGTGGCTCCGGGGGATCGAAGCTCGAGCTGCGAGGTCGAGCAAGAGTGAGGGATCGGTGGGAACAGAGGAGGAGAAGGCATCGACCTGGTGTCTGAGATGTAAGAGTCTTCATCATGCTGGCGCTTCTCCCTGAGACCGTTCATCCTCATTCCTCCCCTGCCTGATGCTGCAGCGCCGTCAAGACTTTGAGGCTGCTATGATCCCACTGCCTGTCGGTTACAACATAGTCAGAAATTGACGATTCCTCCCTCCCTGCCTCATCTCTTGTCTTCTCTCCACTGCCTTTCCTCAACTTTCTCCCCTCTTGACCTGCCTCTAGGCAGTGCACTTGCCCACTCTACTGAAGATAAACGTGTTGAAGAACTAGAGACCAGGATCAATCGAGCTGGGGCGTTCCATAGAAATATTCAGAAGGCGATCTGACTCGTGACGGATAAACCGCTGATCACAACCGTGATCACTCCACAAGACAACATTGCCAACAACAGGACACTTGCCCCCTACACACATCTGAGATATTACGTCTCGCCGAAAGTGGAAACATCCTATCATCAACCCACGAGCCACGGATCTCGTTCAACTTTCACACTGACATGTGAGGAGCTCAGCGGCTCTTGACTTCCTCTCTGTTCTCTTCTACGTGTCCGCCATCCTCGCTCCTGTTCCCTCCCTCTCACCATCCCCTCCCTCGCCTTCTCTTCCTCTTCTCCTTCCCCTCACCGCATGTAGGCTGCATCCGGCGGCAGCACATTAGGGCCACTTGTCGATAACCCTCATCCCCCGACCGTCGGACTGCCTCCAGAACCCGCATCCCACCTCAGACCCATCTGATCCAGCTGATCATCCCCCTCATTCTCCCACATCCCTTGGTACCCCACCAGAGGTACTCTACCAGGTACCCCTCTAGGTACCCGTCTAGGTTACCCTCTAGGTACCCCACCCCCCCTGAGCGTTAGATACGAAAAACACACTTTGAAGGGAAGGGACCAAAAATAATAAAATGCATTTCGGGGGGGTCTACATAAATAGTTTTAAAAATAGTACCATAATCTAAAATTATTGTTATAAAAACTTTGGTCTCAAGACTTAGAGCTGGCAGTAGGGTGGGGGTGCAATTGTGTGGTTCAGAGGGGGTGTAAAAATGTCACATAGACGGGGTGGGGTGCTGACTTGATAGGGTGGGGTAGAGGCTTTTATGGGGCGCTGTCGGGGGGGTATATGATAGGCGAGATTTGTAGTGGAGGAGAAGAGTGGAGCAAAGAACAAAGATACGGGGAGGCGAAGAGGACAGTGGAGAGGGGACAGGACGAGGACAGCAGAGTAGACAGACAGCAAGGGGCAGTGACACTCACAGACTGCAGCGATAGAGAGCATTGCCATACTCACTCGAAAAAAGAGATTGCAGGACAACATCTTGAGTGGTTCTGAAAAGAGATATGCACATAGTAACTTACATGGCGCAGGAGCAGCAGAGGATGCAAAGACATGCCCACCCTTCAGACAAAGGGGGTGATCGAGTGTCCAGGAAGGGTCACAGCCTGCTTGCTATAAGGTATCAGGTCAGGTCCCTCATGTTCGATCAGAGGCAAAGTTTACATCGCAGAGTTCTGTCCCATGTCAAAAGACCTCTATGGTTGTATGAGGAAGTCGAGTCGGTGCTTGAAGGAGTGAGTGAAGTTTCATCATGTGTAGTGGGCGTGGATCGCACAGTGAACGATATCAGCGACTTCCAGCAAGGACACAGGAGACCCTGTACAAAAACCGGCACCACTCGCGTTGGAGGGACTGGTCTACACTTACGGAATTTTAGGATCGTGCGACATATCTTAGGGTTTGACGATGGAAGAAGGCTGTGCGCCAAGCATGAGAAGTCATTCAAAGATCAAGGGAAGGAGGTGGATGAAGGCGACGTTAACGATAAGGTGGAATGGGGGAGAAGTGCAAGTCCGGTGTACGGAATGCACATGGAGCATCACCTTGATCATTGGCTCCCCTTGCACGAATGCAGACCACTGCTACAACCTCCCGAAGATTTTGGAACCGTGGAAAAGAGTTGATGGAATGCCTGACATATAACAAGAACTAGTGAAGGGGTCGATTTGCGATTGATTTTTCGAATGCACAATCAAGTTCTCCTTTTCTCTGACTTAAAATCGTTTTCTGGATAAGACACATTCCTATTCTCTTCTTGCTTCTCAGATTGTTTCGGCACGTCAGTTGTTATAATCCACATCAAAACTGAATAAAGAAGATTCTTCAGTGCATTTAATGTTAACGAGTTGAAGTCCCTCCGAATCCAGTTGATCGACGAACCGTACCAGCTGCAGCAACATCATGTCAGCAACACTAGACCACTTAATGCAGATCTAGATCAACGTACTCGAGGTCGAAGATCTCCTCTCCTCCGCCTCCTGCCTCTGCCTCTCGTTCGACTGCGAGCTCCAGCGTTGGCGAGGATAGCTCTCCTACCCAAAGAGATGAGCACAGAAAGTCTGCACATCGACTCATGTAACCTGGTATTGCGTGCTGGTATGATAGGCAGGGCGTCCGCCCCATCCCCATCCTTGGTGACCCCATCCTTTGCAGAAGCTCAGGAAACCACTGAAGCACCCCTCCTCCTACCTCCATGTCCTCCTGCACCTCCCCATCCGTTACCCCAACCTGAGACTGTGTCTTAGCACCGCTCTCTTGTTTTCTTGCTCCTCACCCCATCCACCTCCTTGTCTGCCTCCAAACAGGGAGGCAAGCGTTCCTCCGATGGCTGCTCCCGTCCAAAAACCATTTGCACCGCCAAAGAAGCCGTTGTTCGCCTGGTACGCATGGGATGCACTGTAGGGTGGAGGAGGAGCATGATGGGCGTCTGGGTTGTAGGGGGGTGGCCTTCCTCCATGAGCTCCCGACCCCCCACTCGCGCCTCCTGAGCTTGATCGCTCTCGCCTGGAGATTTCTCATCGCCAAGTTTTGGATTCAGGCATCTTACATGCAAACAAGAATTCCGATGCCAATCAAAACCGCAATTAGAATCCAGAAGGCAAGCGAGTCGTCGTCGGAGCTGTATGGAAACATCCCGTCATAATGGTGCACACACAAGGGCGGCGGCGAAAGTACGACCTGCCCGTGCTCCTTCTCGAGCCTCGCGATCCATGTCTTGAGTTGTCTTGATGGGGCCGGGAAGTGTCTCCTTGCTTTTCTGAAAGTTTGAGATTGGAGTCAACACGGGACAACCTCATGACTCAACACAGCAGAGAGATATTCTATCGCGATTGCAAACTATGTGGGGTTGTTAACTGCTGTGGTCAAACATACTCGTGTAGTGCAAAGAATACTCCAGCCCGCAACTTCCCCTGAGCTTCAGGCGATCCGTCCTGCTGGAGTAACCTGCCACAATCAGAATCAAACATCGCATCAGAGCCGTCGGATGTCACATTTGGCAATGATAGCATGCCAAAGCAGCAGTAGCAGCGCCAAAAGGCTCCCGTACCTTCACAATTGACGTTGATTTCTCCAAGACGAAGGCTTGAGTCGAGATCGACATCACATCTGACATCAAGCTCAAAAAACTCTCATCCTGACGTCGGCAAGCTTGTTCACACCTCCACTGTACTTCTCCAAGATCATCTGCTCCTACATTACGACATTGGATCGCGCTAATCTCTTGTGCATGCCTCCTGCGGAACTCAGTCAGGAAAGTAGCGTCGCATATCGCAAGGAACGCACGAGCAGGCAGGTCCGTTCACGCAAGACAGCTGGGGGACAGGAGCCGCTCTCCTTCCTTGCATGAAGTCCTTGTCATCACGAGTGTCTTCACAGCACCCTCCATCAACCTGCTGTCATCTTTCCCCTCCTGAAAGTCAAAACCTCGACGTCTCTGAGATCCATGGCGTCCGAATTCACGGCAGCACAGTGGCAAAGTACGCTGCCATGCAAACCCTCTCAGGGAAACAGCACAGAAGTGCGAAGCATGGAGATCCAAAGAGATATGCAGGTAGGTGGGCAGAGGAAAAATGACAACATAGAATCGTCGTCAGCAAGATAATTCAAACCACTTTGTGGGTTCGAAACTTGTACATGCACAAAACAGCCATTGTGGGTTAAAGAGGAATAAGCAGGGCCACAAAATGAGGATGAACGATGGAAAATTCATGAAATGGTCGCAACGGAGGAGTAGGAAGGAGGAAGGAGGAGGCAGTAGGGAGGCAGTGGTGGCCTGGGAGCAGGATGAAGGAGGAAGGAGGAACGAGGAAGGAGGAACGAGGGAGAAGGGAGGAGGAAGGAGGAAGGAGGAAGGAGGGAGGAGGGAACGGAAAAGGATCAGGTGAAGGAGGTGGAGGAGAGCTGCGGGTCTGTACCTGTGCATCAGCGCAAGGCGAAGGAGGAAAACCACCATGGCACAAACCTTGGTAAGATGGTGGCTAGTGAAATTACCGGTGCATTTTCAAGAGATTGAGGGGGTAGGGGTGATACATTTTTTGTATTCAGGGAGCGATGGCGGGAGTAATGGGGCGACCAGTAGGAATGGAGGAGGGGAGCGGAGGAAGGGGGGCGGGGGGGCGGAGGGGCGGGGGACGAAGCAGGGAGCAGGGAGGACATCTTGAAGAGGAAACGGTGGGAGGAGAAGGCAGGAGGAGAAAGTGTGGGAAACGGGTTTCGGAGGGAAGGAAGAAATATGCGTGTAAAAGGCGTTGTAATCGGGGAATGGCATGCGAAGGGTGATGGGGGTTGCGAGGGGGGGATGAGGATGGGAGGTGGAATGAGGGGGTTGTAATATGTACATGCAGGAAATGCTGATGAGATTAAGAGCTGAGAAGAGTTCTATATGCTTCTCATGACAGGTGCAGTAAGGTATGCGGAAGTATGAGTCAAAACCCGCAGACTGGTGAAGCTCGCAATTTTCCTTATCCCTTTCTATTTCCACCGTTTCCTCTCTTTAATTTCCTCCCCCCGTTGGTGCCACTGTTGCCCTTGAATCGCTTGCCGCTACCATCGAATGCCTACAATTCCTTGAGGCTCGTGAACCAGCCTATGCAAAGACGAGAACAACCGGTGAGCCGCTCTTTCTCTTCCTCCTCAGACATGTAACTAGGATCAGTTTATTCCACAATCCAGAAGAAGGCGTGCGAGGCGGATGACAAGTGGTAAACTTCCCCCCATTACAACCGCATGAACAGACATTCAGTTGCATGTGACGATCTGGTAGGCGGTGACGAGCCTTATTCGCCGTACAGCGACACGCTGCAGAGGGCAGACTCGGTTTCCAGTAGTGAGAATCCAACATTGTGAGCTTTGAGTTCAAGAGCTCACGTCGTTGATGTGACTTTCTCGTTTGAAGGGATAGTCGTTCCCATGTGAGCAGTACAGTACGGATACAAGACCAATCCGGCGCTACTGCAAATACCTCGTCATCGTTGATCAATCTCCAATCGGGGACAATAAGTAATGCTTTCGAGGCTGACAAAAACATACCGTCAAGTCCACAGAGAGGTGGTCCTTTGACTTGCATTCTTGTGAGATGCTGAATGTGATCTTGTAAGATTTATCACTGTCACAAGCGAAGACAGAGACGACGGAAATCACATGTGTGTCCTCAACAGTAGAAAATGACGTTGACACCGGACCAGGTATTTGCTGCCTGTAGATTCCTCCAGAATCGTTGTGACTTCAGCTTGCCAGAAACAAACCAGAAAATTGACTCAGAAGAGATGAAAGCTAGTCTGCCGACAAAACGAGGCAGATCCAACTCCCCTGCCATCGCTAACAAAAGACAGGAGACTGATGAAGGTGTGGGCAAACATTCCGATAATCGTGGAATATAGTGATACCAAGCAGCAGAGCTCAGGAACACGATGCGAGGCAGCAGGAATGATGAAGGCTCGGAAAGCCCGGATTGGCGGGAGAGGAGCCCGTCGAGTTCCCGGTCTCGCCCAAGACGAAGAAGGGGAGCAAGATCCTTGACTCCACAACACGTTGGAGTCAGACGAGGTAGACGACGAGTTCGAGGAGATGCTAGAGAAAGGGTAGCCAAGTGGTTCCGGGAGTAAGTGCCAAGAAGCATGTAGAAGAAGGATTAATCTATAGCGTGTTCTGCTTGTGTGCGCGGAGGGAAGAATGAAGTAGAGGCGGGAAGCAGAATGTTGTTGAATGTGCTCTACTTGCATGAGACAAGGGGTATGAGGGTGTGAGGGTAAAGATGTGCATCGCAGGTAAAGGTGGACCCTTAGGGCGTAGGAGAAAGAGAAAATCTGCTTCACCTAAAGGTGGAGGAGAGGGGAATGCGTCTCAAAAAGAAGCACGGCCGGCTGGAGCAGGCCGGGCCCCCAGCCCATGCTTGCGCAGGCGGAGCCCGTCCAGGTCGCTGTCTCCTCGGAGACAAGGAGGGGGGCCGGGACGGTCGCCATCGCGGGAGCGAGGAGGAGGAGGGGGACGAGGTAGGAGGAGAAGAATTGTTCTCGCCTCGTCAGAACGTAACGTGCAGTCCAGGAAGTCCAAGTGGAAGCCCGACGTCGCCGAGTTGGAGCCGGTCAAGATCACCATCATCAAAGCGCTCCATGCCGGGTGAACGGAAGGGAGATCAGCAAGGTCAGTGGAGAAATTCAGCAACAACGCGCATGCGAATGGGGGGAAAGTGAGAACGGGGATGAGAGACACGGGGTCCAGCCACGAGGGCTGAGGAAGATGAGCAGATTCTAGTGGAAATGCATGGAGGATGCAAGGGATGTGGAAGCTGAAGGATTCGCAGGAGATGGTGGGGGATGCGGCAGAGCTGTCCAAACTAGTGGAGGAGCAAGCCCTGGAAAGCGGAAGAGAAGCCGGTCAAGTTCGTTGTCCCCGAGAGGGCGGGAATTGGGGCCTCGACAATCGCCACTGCGGGAACGGGGAGGGGGACCAGGTGAGGGAGGCAGGATAAGGATAAACAGTGAGAGCAGTGGCCGTCTGGCGGCCTGTATGTTGTCTGTCATCTGTCGTCAAGATATTCAGCGCATGATTTGGTCGCCTGTAGTTTTTACTCTTGATCGTTCTCACACATATACCCGTTTGACAACTTTGCTTGACATGTACCTGATGTGTTACTTGGCTCCCTATGAATTGCGCCTGATTCAAACAATCAATGAATTTTATTGTAGATGAGAATGGAGGGCAGCGACTCAAGGAGGAGCGCGACCGACTCCAGCAGGAGCAGGCCGGGCCCCCAGCCCGGGCTGGCGCAGGCGAAGTGTGTCCAGGTCGCTATCTCCTCGGAGACAAGGAGGGTGGCCGAGGCGGTCGCCATCGCGGGAGCGAGGAGGAGGAGGGGGACGAGGTGAGAGAGGAGGAGGGGGACGAGGTAGGAGGAGACGGGGGCGGATGTGGGAAGGGAGAGACATCGATCAGGATGACCATAACGGAGAAGGAGGGGAAGAGGATGACGATGGAATGCAGCAGGGAGACAGCGGCGGCTGATATATTCGGCAGGAGCACCAGGAGGAGGCCGGGGCCCCAGCCCGGGCTGGCGCAGGCGAAGTGTGTCTAGGTCGCTATCTCCTCGGAGACAGGGAGGGTGGCAGAGACGGTCGCCATCGCGGGAGCGAGGAGGAGGACGAGGACGAGGTGAGAGCGGAGTCGAAGATAGTTGGTGATGTCAGCAAGGGAGAGATGGTCATTGAATGTTTGAAGAGATAGAGCGAGAGGGGCAGGACGATGGAGAGAACCAGGGTTTCTAAGCAGGGAAGGGAGGCAAGAACATGATTGTGTGACATACTGCGCAGGGAATGTCAAGAACAGCAGGGCAGGAGCTGGAGGAGATCGGCCGCCTGTCAGGGACTCGTCAGGTGAAAGCTCTCATTGCCAGCTATAAGGGAATGACTATGAACGCCTTTCAGCTCCTCAGGCTCTCTCGGGGTCGATTGAAGGTCGTCAGCTGCATCAAGGTGAGCTAGCCTCTAGTTTTGCTGCCTTGCCTTCCTTGAACACTCCCACGTCCCGGGCTCTTCTTATGGATTTTGCAGCAGTTGGCCAAGCTGCGGCTCGTGACGTCAGGTATCTTCGCTTCCGTTGATTGCTTTGCCTGTCAGCCTTAGTTGTGATTGTCGACCCTGTAGGAAATCTCCAGCGCTTCCACTGTCATCGTCTTCCACAAGCAATTCCCTTCAGCAAGTGAAACATGGTGAACTTTTGATTTGTGATTGGGACTTTTTTGGCGACTGAACGATGCTTCTCCCGCCTCACTATCATTTTCTTCTTGAAGATCCGCATGGAAAAAGTTCTGCTGGCAAGATCGTGAAGTCCAGGGCGGAGTCGCTGGGGTAGTAATTCCTCCTCCTCCTCCTCCTCCTCCTCCTCCTCCTCCTCCTCCTTCTCCTCCTCCTCCTCCTTCTCCTCCTCCTCTAGAAACACGCGCTGAACAACTTTCTAGTATGGCTGGGGTTGATCTACGGGAGGAATCTAAATTACAAGTTCATGTGATACAGCGAACAAACAAAGATTGGTCTCTGACCCTCTTGACTCGCCAGAAGAAGGATGTTGGCGCCCTCGCTGCGGAAAAACCAAGTGCGGGCGCAAACTTCTACAGATTTCCTGCTGACACTTGACTGCAGCTGGACTTGCAGCTGGACTTGCTCATCTGCAGGGACCGGAAATCTCGACCCCCCCGATGTGACGCTCCCTTGATGGTTGGCGTCCCTGGACTGACCGGGCTGAGCAGCACCAGCCTGCAGATGAAGGCGAACGTGGAGACGGTGGAGAGGAGGGGGGCAGGGAGTTCAGATGTTGCAGACAAGATTAACGAGGAGATAGCCTGCATCTCTTCGTCATATGGAGACGATTCTGAGGAGGGTGAGCGAACTTGACAGCTGCAAGTTCGGACTCGAGTGACCTTGATGTCCGATCAGATCTCGTCAATGATCGCAAACAAGTCAAGTTGTTCAAGACAGGTGCTGATCTTGTGACTGTCCAACACAAAGAGACGTCGCAAGCTTGTGATACAACGATCGCTGCTTCCCTTCTACCCTGTCGCCCTGATCCTCTCCAGCAGATGCACTTCCACCCGACTTGGAGCTTCGGGTGAGGCAGCTAGAGGACAAGGAACTTCGACTCGGCGAGCTAGAGAGAAGCTTGATGATGAAGGAGAACCAGATCATGACACAGATCGCGTTCGATGACATCCGGTGTGAGGCCATGGCGGCAGAGATCAAGAGCAACCAGCAGCTGCTGCAGAACCTGCAGTCGGAAGTCTCCCTGCTCCACCAGACCGTCTCCTCCCGGGACAGCGAGATCGAGACTTTGAAGAAGAAGTGGGAGGACCTTCACGAAGCTATCGAGTGCAGCGTCTGCCTCGAGCGACCAGCCAAGGTCGCCTGCTCGCCATGCGGGCATTGCTTCTGCTGCGACGAGGCCTGTGGCTCCTCCTCCTTGCAGAGCTGCCCTGAGTGCCGCTCGTCCATTGAAGGGAGGACGCAGCTGTACGGGCCACTCTGCTTTCTGGAGCAGCTGATGAAGAAGGAGGGCGGTGCCGGCCATCTTGCAGAGTCCTCGAGGTCGCGCAGGTCGAGGAAGGAGGTAGAGGAGCTGGAGGAGAAGGTGCGGGGGCAGGAAGAGACGTGCAAGCAGAAGGAGGAGGAGATGGAAGAGCTGAAGGGTCGGCTGCAACTCATTTCGCAGGAGATGTCATTGCTGCACGTTCGCTGCAGAGAGTCGATCTCAATGACGAAGTCGAGGGAGGAGAAGGTCAAAGAGGATCTCTGCAGGATAGAGGAGGCGATAAACAGCTCGATCGATGGAGTAGAGAAGGTGAGAAGGGGGAGGAGGGAGGAATTAGTTGTGCTGCATGTTGTTGACTTCCCGGTCTTGCTCTAGAGCTTGGAGGACGGGCTTGTCGGGATCGTATCTCGCAGCGTGAAGGCAGCACAGGCACGAGGAGACGTGCGGCTGATCGTCTCCTACATGCGGATGCTGCCGACATGCGCGACGGTGGCTGAGGAGGGTGTGAACGCTCTCAAGGTCTTCTTGGGCGACGAGCGCAAGAAGAGGCAGATCCTCGTGGGAGGTGGCCTGGACGTCCTAGCAGACGCGATGAGACACTTCGGAGGGAACCCGATGCTGGTAAGGTCGGCGAGCCTAGCGATGGCGAGCGTGAGCCAGGAGGAGGAAGGGGAGCTTCTTGCGCTCGACGCGAGCAGCGTGCAGACGGTGCTGGAGGTGATGAAGGGAGGGATGAAGTCAGCAACGATCTCCATGCTGGAGGTCCTGTGGAACCTGTCGGTGCTGGACAGGAACAGGGAGACCGTCGCAGAGGCCGGGGGCATCGCCGCCATCGTGGAGGGCATGCGGCTATTCCAGGAGAACGCGACGGTGCAGGTGAAAGGGATGCTGGCGGTACGGAGACTCATCGAAGACCGTCGGGAGTATCAGATCCAAGTGGTGACGTGCAAGGGAGACGACGTGATCATCCAGAACCTCGTGTCGCACCGCTCCAACGACAGCCTGCTGGAGGAGAGCTGCTCTCTCCTGCGCATCATCGCCTGGGTGCCTAACGAGAGAAGCGAGATGATGATCTCTGTCGTGATCAGCTGCATGCGCGAGTGGCTGTGGCTCACCCGCCCCTCCATCCAGCTCCACTGCTGCGGATTCCTTCATGCTGCCGCCTCCTTCTCCAAGAACATCCCCATCATCGTCCTCGAGGGAGGCGTCGAGCTTGCGGTGAAGAGCATCCAGCTCCACAGGGCCTGCGACGAGCTCGTCCTGCTGGGGTTCAAGCTCCTGCAGAACCTCAGCAAGAGGAGCGAGGCGGCGAGGGAGAGGATCGTGCAGACCAACGCGATCAAGTTCCTGCTGGAGGTCCTCCAGCAGCAGCCCACCTGCGCCCTCGTTGCCGAGGCTTCCATCACCCTGCGCTTGCTCGTGGACGATGACGAGCACATGGCGAACCGAGTCATCCTGCAGGACGCGATCCGCTGCCTCTCCGAGGTGATGGAGGTCCAGAGCAGCGGCTCAGCTGCCCACCAGGAGGCCTCGAGCCTGCTCAAGCTGCTGCTGAGCCTGGAGAGCCCGCAAAGTCGTGCGGCGAGACTGGCAGAGGGACGGGGGACGAGGGAAAGGGCTCTAAGGGCTGGGGAGAAACCTGTGGATCCCAGGCTGGAGGGGAACGAGGGCAGGAGAGGGGAGGGGCACGACGTGAAGAAGATCGACCTGGAGACGTACAGGAGCAGGAGGAGCGAGCCTGGGAGCAGCTCCTCCCGCCTGTTTACGAGGAAGTGAAGTGGAAGCTCGTCGCTCTGATACCCTCGTCCTCGTCCTCGTCCTCGTCCTCGTCCCCTGCTCGTGGTGGTGGTGGTGGTTTGATCTTGCTGTTCCTGCTCTTTCCTCCTGCTCTCCCCCTCTGCCGCCCTTTCTTCTTCCTTCCTGTTCTGATCTCGTTCTCGTCTCTCATTGTCCTTGTCGACTATTCTTATCTTCGTTCTTGTTCTTCTGTCTGGATTACAAGTCCTTTGCTACATATGCCTCCATGTGTTGTTCCGCCAACAACATCCGCGTCTTTGAACAGGAAACGGCACTTTCAGCCGTGTTCCGTCCTTCGCACTTCACATCATCGCAATCGAGATGTTCAGTTTTCACCTACCGGGTCCTTCTACTCCTCCACTCATCTTCTCCTTCTCTTGTCATCGTGAACATTTGTTACGAGATGTTGTTAACATAGCAACTTATCATCATTTCTGCGCTGATCAGAACAAAGCTCTCACTCCGTTCTCATCGTACTGAGCACCAGGCCTCTTGATGACGTTGCCATCGTCGTCGATGTACTGCACACAAAGTCACCACACTTGATGTCAAAAGTGTCGACGATGACGGGAAATGAAAAAAAGGAAGACTACAAATCAACTAATTGACAGAACGAGAACATGTACAAACTGGTCGACAGCAAGAACACCGTGAAAAATATCTACAAAGACATGGGTAAGGACTTTGTTCACGCACCTCGCTCTTCTGTTGCAAGACAAATCTGCTGAACCTGAGTGCAGATGTCATGGACCAATTTACACAAACAAGGCAAGTCATAATAACTCAAGCCTAAAACAACAAGACACATCACGACAACAGTTTCAACATCATCAGTCGTTTCGACAACAGTTTCGACATCATCAGTCGTTTCGACAACAAGACAGCGAGACGTACAGCTTGAAGAGAATCTTGTCAGTTGTCAGGAACTCAACAGAGGATCCTTGCTCTGTCGTTGAAAGAATCTTGGGAACCAAATCCGCAGCCACCTAGGGGTCGTCAAAAACAAAATCAGTCCTTGCCTCCTCCCTGCCTCCCTGCTTCCCTCTCTCCCTGCTTCCCTCTCTCGTTTCCTTTCTCTTCCCCTCACTCCCCCCTGTCCTTCCTGCTCACTCGCTCCTCGTTCCTCGCTCGTTTGCCTTGCTCCCCCCACACCATCACCACCCATCTCCCCTCCCTTTTCTCACCTCCTCGGGCTGAGCCGCGAGTACTCCAAAGGGGAACTTGCGGAGCTCTACGTGCACTGATATCAGAAAAAATCCCTTCCCCTCTCCTCCCTTCCTCTCCTCCTCCCTTCCTCTCCTCCTCCCTTCCTCTCCTCCTCCCGTCTCCACTTCCCCTTCCCTCCCATTTCCTCTCCTTCTCCCCTCTCCTCTCCTGCTTTTCTCCTTCCCTCTCTTCCTCCCCGTCCCTTCCCTCCCCTCCGCTCTCTCTCCTTCCTTCCTCCCCTCCCTCCTCACCAGGCGTCGAGTCATCGAGCAGCAGCTGGGTGAAGACCATGCCTGGGGAGAGGGTATGCACCTGCTGCGGGTTCACAACAAGGAACAAGAGGCCAACAAACAAGAGACCTTGACGTCTCCCGGATACTCCTTCTTCTCGTATCCCTGCACTCCCTGCGGACAAATCACTCCTCCTGCCCCTCCAACCTTAATCATCATCTCCATCATCATCATCTCCATCATCATCATCATTCTCATCATTATCATCATCATCATCATCATCATCATCATCATCTCCATCATCATCATCTCCATCATCATCATCATCTCCGGTCGTCCGTTTCCTCTTCTCACCTTGGTGAGCTCATCTACAAGTGACTTGGTCATCTGCGGCTGGCCGCGCTTGGTTGCTCCGTAGCAGACGTATCCTATCAGCCCGTCAGAGCGAGGGGGAGGGGGGGGATGGAGCGGAAGAGGGAGAGGGGACGGAGAGTTTACCTGGAGTTCCTCCTCCCTTCACGCCGCTGCACGTACAGCAATCTTACTATGCAAACTCAAGTAGGAGGAGCGGGAGAGAGGAGGAGAGGAGGAAATGGAAAGACGAGAAGGAAAACTTTTGGGAGGTCTCAGGGGGAGGAGAGGCAAAAGCGAGCGCACGGGAGGGGGCAGGGACAGCAGGAGCAGGAGCAGGAACAAGGAGGGGAGAAAGAGGAGGAGGAGCGTCACCTGCCAACGGTGTTGAAGACGTGCGAGGTAACGCCCGGCTGCTGGAGCATGGTCTTCATCGCGTACTGTTCCCTCCAGTCACCCACGGGAGGAGAGAAACATGCTGCTTCCTTACCTGAGTGCACAGGAGCGCTCCTAGCAGATTGACCTTGACGACGGCCTCAACCTGTCGATCAAGATCAGGAGACGCGGTAGAGAGCAGGGTTGTCGTCAGCGAGGTGCGTCGTCATTCTCTGCTCCTCATCCCCTCCAATCATCGACATCAGCATCAGCATCAGCATCAGCATCAGCATCAGCATCAGCATCAGCATCAGCATCAGCATCGCCGATGTCGTCATCTCCGATATCATCAGCATTAGCATTAGCATCAGTATCGTCGTCGTCGTCGTCGTCGTCATCATCATCATCATCTCTACTCCTTGTTAACAGGTCGTTCATTCAACCTGCTCGACAGGAACATCGACGAACGCTCTCCTTCCTCCGTTGATGCCAGCGTTGTTGATCCAGTAGTTGATGGTGCCTGGAGCAGGGCGACGTCAGGAGGGCGTCGGTAGGAGATGGCGGCACACACCGAGCTTCTCCTTGGCGAAGGAAGCGAGCTGAGAAACACTGTTCTTGTCGCTGACGTCGGTGATGATCTCGTAGAGCTGTGCGTTGCTGTGCTTCTTCCTCAGGGCGTCAGCAGCCTGCGAGATCTTGGGGGAGATGTCGCAGATGACGACGCGATGTCCTCGGGCGAGAAACTCGTCAGCGTAGGAGAACCCGACTCCTCCTGCTGCTCCTGTGATCACCACACCGAAGGACGACGCTCGGGCTCCTCTCAACCCCTCCGAGCGCTGCCAGCTCGCTGCCGACAGAGCTGGCGCACCGACCTGCCTCGAGGCTCCGGCGAGAGAGAAGGATGATCTTCCGAGAGGCGAGGAGGGGGAGGAGGAGGCATGGAAAGCCTTGGAGGAAGCGAAGGAGGTGGAGGGGAGGGAGGAGGGAGCGAAGGCTCCCGCTCCCGCCGCCATCGTCGCCAACAGCGCTAGCGCGGCCGCCATGTAAGAGATCCGAAGGTATTGAACCGGTTCGATCCGATGGCCAATAAGCGCTCCATCCGATTTGAATCGAATTGGAGAGATGCTCTGAGGCAAGTCCAGAACTTGTACCGTAAATTGGATCCACCCTACCCCACCTACTGTACCATCAATGTGGTACAGTGAGTACCCCTTCTAGACTACAATACTACCCCACCCTGATAGGCTTTGTTGAAGAACTTGCGCTCCACCACCCCTGCAATCGTTGAGCTTCCTTCGACTTCCCTTTTCCTACCCACGACCTTCATGTCGCACCCCCCCCACTTTAACCCCTACCCCCTCAAATTATATGAATTTAACCCCCAGTATCCCACACTTCCAGACGACAAAATCGCCCCACCCTGTAGTTATTCCTGCGACTCTACATTGTCTCACCCCTACCCCACCATATTCCTTGTACCACCCCCCTTAACATCTGTACCCTGGTCATAATGACCACCCCACCCTTGTACCTTCACCGCTACCTCTCAGCAATGCTCGCTCTTCGCCGCAATGCACTTCGCGCGGTATGGCAGCCTCAGACTCTTCGAGCCGAACTGAAACCTGATCATGCTTGCGATATGCCCTCTTGACATCAGCTACAACCATCTCCTCTCCACTCGCCTCCTCTTTCCTTCACACAGCTCATCCTTCGCTCAGTTGTTACTTTTGCTCTCGTTCCTGATGTTAACGTTGTATCTGCTTCGAGTTGGTCTTCTTAGCGATCGATCGAGATGGTTTGCTTCTTTGACATCTTCTTGTCTCTTTCAATCTTCTTATTTCCTGTTCCTTGATGTGTTGGAACTCCTTCATGTCCCGTTCCACCTCAGTCGCATCTTGGCCCTGCTGGGTTGATGAACTTGGTCATTCTTGCCTGCATCGTCTTCCTCAAGTCAACCTTTGTTATCCATCATCATCATCTCTATCATCATCATCATCATCAGCAGCAGCAGCAGCAGCAGCAGCAGCATCGTCATCATTAGCACCTTCATCATCATCATCATCTCCATCATCATCTCTATCATCATCTCCATCATCATCATCTCCATCATCATCATCATCATCATCATCATCATCATCATCATCATCATCAGAACCTCCATCATCATCATCAGCAGTAGCATCAGCATCATCATCATCATCAGCAGCAGCATCATCATCATCATCATTCCTCTCCTTCTCCTCATCCTCCTCCTTTCACCTTCTATGGATTGTCCTCGTGGCGTCTTCTTGACATCTTCGTTTAGGTGGCAAAAGGAACTCGGCACTTCTCCAAGAATCCTGACACTGAAACTTACCGGATCAAGTCCCAGGTTAGCGACGAGCAGTCACGACGTTTTTGTTTCAATGTTCATTCATGTGTGCTGACGAAAAAATGTATTGGATGTCTACTTGCACTTCTGACAATGTTTGTTGAATGCAGTCTTTGACAACCGACGTCTTCACTGGCTTCATAGCAGCCGTGAAGCAGTTCGGTATGTGAATGACAATTGCGAGGCCCTGTGGTTGAAACGCTCCTCAAGGTTGGAGAGACATCTGGAAGCAACTCAGACAGTGCAAGGAGGCCAAGGTACATCACCGCTTCCTGCTGATTGTATCTGCAAGAATCTTATACTCTTTTGATCTTGCTCCTCCTCTACCACCACCTCCTCCTCATCCTGCCTCCTTCGCCTACGTCTGCCCTTCTTACTCCCTGTCTCATTCCCTTTGCCTTTCCGTTTGCTTTCGTCCATCCTGAATGTAAGAATGGTGTAGGTTGGAACTTTGGTCGGAACAGACAAATTTGGGAACCGGTATTACGAGAACAGAGAAGATCAGTACCTGCGCGACAGGTCTGTCCCAGCTCTTGTGTCAACGAGCCTCTGAAGACATTGATCAGATGGGTCGTCTATAACACCGAAAAAATCCACATGGACTATGATCCAGCTCTGGTGAGTAACGAAAGCCTTGTCTTGTTAGAAACAAACATACTCCCACTGCTTGTTGACAACCTTGAGGTGAGTTGTGTCGTTCTGACTGTGATGTCTCAAGGTGCCGCCAGAGTGGCATGGTTGGCTGCACCATATCACCGATACCACCCCAGATGAGATCAAGAGGAAGGTTGGGTTGCTCTCGGCGCTGAGACCTGGCTGATGCTCCCTGGCAGCACGGAGATGCGAAGTTCTTGACCGAGAAACAGTACAGTGAGGAGAAGCAGACTGGGCGAGATGTGAACGTGAGACGAGCGAGCGGTGCGAGATGGGTCCTGACGACAACATGCGCTCATGCAGTACAAGAACCCTGGGCATCTCCTTGGAGGAAGAGCGCGTGGTGACGGTTATTTGTCCAAGTCTGGCAGCGTCCGACCTGTGAGTTTGGAAGGCCTCAATGTCTCTTGTTGTCCCTCGATCGTTTGTCTCTTGTTGTCCCTGACAATCGGTTTGTTTGTTGTTGTCCCTGACAATCGCTTCAGGCATTCGAACCCTACGATCCCAAAGCTGATAATTACGTTTAATCTGCCGCGCTGTCAATTTTTTGTGCATGATTTTCAAGATGGAAGGGTTCAAACAGCTACAGCTTCTACAACAGCACAGCTGTTTTCTTGCTTCCTACTTCGATCGAAATGAAAATTGTGTTGATTTACCAGCATGCCTGCTCGCTGCCTCATGAAGGTGTCCTTCTGATCCATCCGACGTGACATGCTCAGTTGTAGTTTTTCAAACGCTCACGATCGTTTCAATGAGAGTTGTCGGAGGAGCCTACCTCTCCAACTTCCTGGGAAGTTGCCAACAGATCGGCACCAGCAACATCACAAAACTCCTTGACATCGCAGTATCCTTTCGCTCAATCCCAAAGTTTTTTCTTCAAGTCCCTTCACAACTTCCTTCCCTTCTCCCTGTAGCCTTCCTTTGCATCCACGTCGCCCCTCCCTCTTCCTCCCTCTCCCTCCTCTCCCTCCTCCTCCCCCCCCCCGTCCATCGCACCATCATCCGCCGCACCCGCTGTCCTGATCGCAACCCCCTCCCCTTCCCCTGGCTGCTTTTTCGTTAGGGCCGCCGCCATGGGGCAAGTGACCTCAGTCTTACCGCACGAGGGGGGGGGCGGGGCACAGACGACACAGAGCTTGCAGGAGCTGGAGGATGGTAGAGATGGGAACGAGTACTTCCTGACGTCCTTCGACCATGGCGGAGCCGCCCTGACGGCTGAAGACGACTTTCTCCTTGCCCGTGCACACGGTACTCTGCTTGACGACTTCGACGAGGAGGAAGCGAGGAGCAGGAGGAGGGGGGAGGAGGAGTGGACAAGGTACAGCAACAAGCCTGACCTGATCACGTTCGATGATCTCGTGTCCTTGGACAACGGGGAGGAGAGAGACGTGAGCGACGGGGAGGAGGAGTATCCTCCCGCGAGCGCAAGTGCGTCGGGCCAGGTGCAGGGGAGGAGGAGGAGGGTGTCGGTGGAGGTGACGGCCGGTGAGAACAGGAGGAGAGTAAGCTGCAGCTCCTGCAAAACCTGAGCGACGTTGAGAGCAAGCTGGTGGACAAGTACCGAGAGTACGCGCGGCTACACCATGACATCGTGCCGATCAAGGTGAGAAACAAGTTGAGACAACAAACATGCTACCATTTGACTTGCTGATCATGTAGAATCGAGACAAGTCGAACCTCTTCTACAGGTTGCTTCCCCTTCTTCCACTCACAACTCCCGCTGATGCTCCTCGCCAGACCGCAGGGACAGTCGCCGGGCTGGCATCCGGGAGGGAGGTTTGCCTTCCGAGAGGACGCAACGGATGCGATACATGACCTTCAGGTAGAGGAGGAGGAGACAGGAGGAGGTTTGTAGAGACGAGTCTTGTGATAACAGGAGCGAGAGATTGAGTTGGCCAAAGCTGAGAAGAAGAAATTTTTGAAGGCGATCAAGGACGTGCGTTGGCTCCTCCCTCCCCCCTCCTCCCTCATTCCTTCCCATCCCTCCTCCCCATCTTGTCACTCTCTACCCCCTCCTCTCTTGCTCTCCTCCTCCCTCCTCCCTCTCCCCTCCCCGCTCCCTCCCCGCACTCCTCCCCGTGCCTGCTGCAGTGACTGACGGTTGCGAGAGCAGCGGATTGAGCTGAAGAAGCAGAGGGTGAAGAAACACAACCGGGGTGCTCAAGCTCAAGTTTTCTCCTCGAAGTTCGATGTATGGAAGGGACAAGAACCCATCGACTCTCCTCACGTCTTGCTGCTGCAGCAAGTCCTCGAGCATCAGGAGACTATGAAGAAGAAGGCCAAGAACAAGTCACTGTGAGTCGATGAGTGTGATTTGACAAGGCTCCCCTGACGCTCCTGCTTGCTCCAACAGCAACGCCACCATGACGAAACAGCGAGTCATGGAGGAGAGCTGCGAGAGGATGGAGAAGGTGAAGAGCCCATGAAGCAACGCTGCCCTGACAACATGCAAACAAGGACTTGCAAATCCATCAGGCGCGGGAGTTACGTCATGCCAACTATTACAAACAGCAGCGAATCCAGGAACTTCCTCCCCCCTTGTGCTCCCCGACGTCTGACAAGTTTAGCAGGAGGTGGTGGACCGCCGGCTGCACTCCCTCGCTCGTGCTCGGCGATCGATCCACCACATCGAGGTTGAGCAGGAACTACTATGATAAGACAATCGTTCATTCCCTCCACTTCTGTACTTGCACCTTCCCTCCCTTCACCGAGTCTACCAGCTGCCTTGACTGCGCCAGGTACTTGGACGCCTCCAGCTGCTTGTACGTCGCCTCCTCCTTCATGTACCTCTAAGTCATCGTCACCATCAAGACCATCTGGACGCAAGACCCCAGCTCACCTCCTGCTGCTCCGCCTCCTTCTTTCTCAGCTGGTCATAGTCCTTCATCTCCCTCATCTCGTCTCGCGCATACGCAGTCGCGTACTTGGAGACAACCCGCGGAGCGCGCATGATGTCTGCGCCGCTCGCATGCGCTCGCGCGTGCTTCAGCCTTGTCATCACTCGATGGACCCGCTCTTGCTGCTCCTCGAGCACGGGCTCTTGCCGCTGGACTCGAGACATGGCGATCAGGAGGAGGAGGAGGAGGCATGCTGCAGGCGCCAGCAGGCGACCAATGCTCCACTTCACGCTCGTCATCACAGTTACCTTCATCATGAAACATCAGCAAGTCCTAAACCAGGGTCGACCCCTCACAACGTCATGACTCCTCGTTTCATCTCTACATGACCATTGCCCAACCATCAAGCGCTCCGTCGTATGGAGCAGCTCTCAGCATCTCATCCTCCGCTCGATACCATGTTTAAGCATCACTCGAGATCTCATACACCAGTACTTCTTTACCCGCTCAGCTTCCGCCGCTCCATGGGTTTCTGCGCTTCAAGTTTCTACCCTTGTGTTCTATATCTCTTATATAGAGCTCCATTGCTCTCTTCGCCCCTGCCCTTTCGCCACATGCTTGTGCATGCACCGACCTTGTCGTTGTTCTGTTTGCATTCTCAACTCTAAAGCAAATTCAATCTGCTTCTCGTATGCTCATCATCATGTTCTTGATCATCACATATTCTTCTCATCCTCCTCATCCTCTGTCCACATAAATGCCATCATAATCGAAGTCATCTCGATCATGATCATCGTAGCATCCTCGCCAGCATCTCCTTCTCAATTTCTATCATCTCCATGATCAATTCTCATCTTCAACCTCCTCTCTCCCTTCCTCCTCCTCCTCCTCCTCCTCCTCCTCCTCCTCCTACTCCTCTTACCTCCACTTCGCTTTCACTTCGCCATACTGGCTCCTCCTGTTCAGGTCACCAAGATCAGTCTCTACCACCCCTACCCCCACATACCCCACAGTCCTACCATAGACTCCACCTCTGCACTACCCCCACCCTATCACTTACGACCTTCTACATAACCCCTCCTCACATTCACATTGGGTCCGACGTACCGTACAACACTACCCCCTCTAATACCAGCACCTCCCATTAGAAAGGTGGTACCAATAAGCTGAAAATTACCTACCCTACCCTTACTGCTCCCCAATTTGTTCTGGACCCCTTCAAATTGCATATCCCCCACCCCTATTTCACTTCGAACCCCTGCCAGGAATACCCTACCACCCCTAGTGGTACCGACAAGCGATCCGCCATGCCCGGCCCTCTCTCTCGCCTCCTCTTGCTCCTCCTCCTCCTCTCCGTTGCAGCCCCGGCAGCTCCTGCCTCCTCCCACTCCCCTGTCCTTCATGCTTCCTCGTCCCATGGCCTTAACCCCTCCCCCTCCTTCCTTGAGCCGAGGATGCAGCCGCGTGAGAGCTATGGGCTATCACTCGAACAGTTCGAGGCTGCGGAAGAACAAGTGCAGGAGGATCAGCTAGACGCGAAATTCGAGCAAGAAGTGAACGAACTCGATGATCTTGCACAGAGAGCCTCTTCCTTTCATGTAAGAGCTGAGCGCGGGTGAGGACAAGTTATGGTGTGAACCTTACAATGCCATGCAGGATCAGTCAGTGGAGCTGTACAAGAAGATTGAGAGCGAGATGGAGTTCAACCAAAGACTCATGCATGCGATCAAGAATGCGATGCCAGAGATCGACGCCATGCAGAGGAAGCCCTCTGAGAGGACCAACAACGTGGCTGCGATGGGACTAATGAGCGTGAGTGGTTGTCTTTGTTCAGTAGCTCTGACCCTGATACTATCATGGCAGCGACAGGAAGTCGATACGATGGACACATGGGATGACATGCAGACAAGCTACTTCCCCGCGGAGATCGGTAGCTCTCCTGTTCACGCCATGCCGAGGATGGGCAGGGAAGGCGGGAAGATGTTGCATGAAAGCCTGCGAGCCGGGTCGTCGATTCCTCACCTTAGAGGAGGAGGAAACGTCCTGGCGTTGGCAGAGGAGAAGCCCTACACAAGTCAGGAGAGGAAGCTCAACAGGCGTCTCTGCAAGGTCTGTGTGGTGCTGACCGTCCATGGCTGACTGGTGAGTTGACAGGCCGTTGGCAACGGAAACGAGACAGCGATCCGATCGCTCATCAAGGAGGGTGCGGATCCAAACTACAAGGTCTGCTACGTGCAGCATGCTCCTCCCGCTCATCTCCTGCCAGGGATGCTCCCCTCTAGGGTTCAGCGTGATGCATGAAGCCGTGAACAGCAAGCAGATCCGAAGGTGCCGCCCAGCGCGATCATGCCGGAGCAGAGGGAGGAAGGGCACTGACGTGGTGGTGTGAGCAGCGTCGAAGTTCTTCACTCGCTGGGAGCAGACGTGACCGTAAGAGACTCTCTCGGCTGGAACCTCCTGCATCAGGCGGCGAACAACGGAGACATGGAGATGGTAAGCGCATACCTCCTTTCTTTGCTACTGCTGCCACGTTGATGCCTCCTGCGATCGCCGTGGGGCTCTCCGCGTTGCCTTGAGATCTGCATGCTGGACCTGCTCCTATTGCCGTCGAGGAGGAGGAGGAGGAGGAGACTGACTTGCTTCCAGTGCGTCAAGCTTGCCAAGATGGGGGTCTCTGTGGACACGAAGAACAATGCTGGAAGGACGCCGTCGACCGTCGCCAAGACAGCTGTAAACTGACTTGCCTGACGGCCCTCGGCCGTCGCTCTGATTGCTGGCATGGCAGGGAGCGCGAGAGTGCTACAAGCAGCTGATGCAGATGGAGATGGACTTCATCAAGGTTTCTTGCCTTGCGCGCTCGGCGACTGCGCTAAAAACCCTGCTGCAGAGCAAGGCGCAAAGGCCTGTGGAGGAGGAGGAGGACGATGACGATGTGAGTGAAGCTGATCGCGTTGATGTCTTGACCTTGTCTCACCCTCGTTACCAGGACGAGGAGGACGACGACGAGGTGTGCACAGCGACGTGACCAGTCGGACTTTGCGATGATTCATGACGTCCTACAGGACCAAGAGGAGGCACAGCTGAAAAAGCAGCTGGAGGAGGAGCGTGCGGAGCAGGTCAATCATCTCAATTGCTCGCCGTGTATCGTTTTTTTCACCGCATACAAACAGGAGAAAAAGTTGGCGCAGAAGAAGTCGAGCAGCAAGCAGAAGCAGTAGAAAAGGAGGACATCAACCGCTCTCCTCCTCCTCCTCCTCTCTCTCTCCTCCTCCTCTCCTCTCCTCCTCCTCCTCCTCTCCTCGCGTTAGGTCATGGTGGGGTGGTCGCTGCCGCTGTCTCGCTGCACCACGCAGATCCCCGCGCGCTCTCTGCGCAGCTCCATCTGCCCCTGCATGTCAGCACGAGGAATACGTCGAGTCTTGTGGTTACAAGGAGAAGAGCTGGGGGAGGTGGTGGAAAGAAAGGGGGTGTAATTTTTCTTGTGGGTTGACGAAGAGGAGGAGGAGGAAAAGGAAGATTAGAAAATCAATGAGTGACCTGATAACAAATTTCACTGTTTTGATCTCCTGCTGCTTGTCGAGCCTGAACACGATTGTCATGAAGAAATATTATCTCCATCATCATCACAACCACTATCATCATCATCATCATCATCATCATCATCCTATTCATTATCTCTTTCTCCATCTCCATTGTCATCGTTTCAGGTCACCATCGTCAAGTGGACGGTTGTTCCAGCCCGTCCCAGCAATTTAGTTCGAAGTTCGTTGGCCTGCGGAGGAGGATAAGGTACAGGATAGGCTACTCCCCAGCCCCTCATCTCTCCTCGTCCTCCTATCCCATCCTCGGCTTGTAACTCCTCCCCGTCCATGTCCCTTTCTCTTTTAATCCTCCTCAGGCAATCCTCCTCTTACTCCTTCTCCGTCTCCGTCTCACCCTACTCTCCCCGCAATCCTTCCCCCCTCCTTCCCGTCCTCCTCTTCCTCCTCTCCCAATCCCTTGTTCTCACCGTGCAGGAACCAACAAACGGATGCCCATCCACTTCAACGATCCTGCTCAGCCTCTTACTCTCCTCTCCTCCACTGCAGGAAGTCAGTCCTACCTGTCCCCCGCCCTGATCACGTGGCCCCATCCCTCTCGCTCGCATCGTTCATTGTGTCGGGAGGCACTGCTCTCGGGGAGGATAGAAAAGACAACCTAGAGGAAGCGATCAACAAAAGGAGGAGGATCAGGACGAGGACGAGGACGAGGACGAGGACGAGGACGAGGACGAGGACGAGGACGAGGACGAGCAAGTGGTGGTGATAGTGGTGGTCGTGATAATGGCGGTGGTGGAGGAGGAGATTTCTCACTAGGTTTCCACTCCTGTCGAGTCTGAACATAATGCCGCAACTGACGCCGCTCTCACCGCCTGCTCCCTCCTCAAGGCACCTGCAGCACCAGCAGCGTCATGCTACAGGAACGTCCCTCCTTGATCCTTCATCTCTCACTCGTCAAGGAGGAAGGACGTCTCCGATCCCTCCAGCGCCAGCGCCTCCATCATCTCCTCCGTCACGTCCTCGTCCTCAACCCCCGTCGCTGACACCGAGAAGGCGTTCCGGAAGATGCCCCGCACGTTGGGCTTCGATCCCAGCAGGAAGTTCTTGAGAGCTTGTCGCTTCCACCCTCTCACCCTCCCCTTCTCCTTCCCGCTCACCTGAAGCCCCCCCCTGCCCGCCTCCTCCGCCTGCCGATGCCCACTGGCGTGCCGCACCTGCTGCTTCTCCTCCTCCTTCTCCTCCCGATGGTGCACTCTTGTCTCGTCCATCGTCCTCCTCTCGATCGACCGTAGGTCGTCATGGTTCTTGCAGCAGCTGACTTCTCCCGGGATCCCCCATGGCGGGTTGGCAGGGTCGACCTGCGCGATCGCCATGGAGATCCTCTCAACCCACTTCTCGGCCTCTGCGAGGGAGGACGACTGCATGTACCAGGAGGCGCTCTCCCTCCCCTCCCCCTCCACCACCTGCAGCACATGATTCTCGGCATCTACCAGCGCTACCCTCGACTTGGGTTGCAGCAGGATTTGACCCCTGGGGAGCTTCACGCCTTCGGAGATCTTGAAGTAGGACAGGATCCCGTACTGCAGGAGGAACTTCCTCCGTACCCACTTCTTCCTCCACTTGTCCCCCCTCTTGGTCAAGAACCCTTCGTGCCTGATCGTCGGCGCATGCTCCCTTCCCCTCCCCACCTCCTCCCCCGATGCGCTCGCTGTCATCCATTCGTGGATCCGTTCTGCATTCTTGTAGAGCGCATCTTCGCCGGCACTCAACCTCTCATCCTCTTCCTCCTCTGCTTCATCTTCCTGCCCCTCCTGCCCCTTCTGTTCCTCCTGCTGTCCCTCCTGCTGTCCCTCCTGCTGTCCCTCCTGCTGTCCCTCCTGCTGTCCCTCCTGCTGTCCCTCCTGCTGTCCCTCCTCCTGCCCCTCCTCCTGCCCCTCCTCCTGCCCCTCCTGCCCCTCCTCTCCCTCCTGAGCTCTCGAGGCTACCGGTTCCTGCCCCTGTACACCTTCCACTTGCCCTGCTTCAACTGCTGCATCCTCCTCCCATCTCCCTTCCTCTCCCTCGTTCTCTCCTTCATGCTCCCTCTGCTCGCCCTCCCCGCCGCCATCGCCACCTCCCCCGCCCCCTCCACCTCCTTGGGCATTGCGCCTCTTCCCCTTTTTCCCCTGCGACTCTTTAGGGTGCTGCCCCCCGAAGCGTCCCCTGCCGTCCCCGTCCCCTGCCGCCGATGCGCTGCTATGACGAATCCGCTGACTGCTCTGACTTTCTCCCCCGTCCTCCCCCTCCTCTCCACCACCTGGAAGTACTCCATCGCACCTCCTCCTCACTCCCTCCATCACCCTTTCTCCTCAATCGGATCCCTGGGCATGCTGTTGGAAGAGATGGAAAACGTCGAGTTGAAGTATGTATTATGAAACAAGAAAAGGACACGGGAGGAAATGAAGACAAAATTTGCACCAATCTCGACCTCAACACGCCTGCGTCCTTCTCCCCGTCCTCTCCACCAACACGTTCTCCTCCGCCTCCTCCATCCCTTCGACAGAAGCACATCTGCTCTCGAACCAACTTCGTCGACACGTAGACGTCCTCGCTGTCTCGGCCCCCCTCATGCACAAGGCCCGCGTGATACTTCTCCACTTCCTCCTCCTCCTCCTCCTGTTGACTCCTTCCCTCCACCTCATCGTCTGTAGTAGTAACCGTATCCTTGTCCGTGCGCCCCCGGGGCTCCTGGGGATCCTGGCGACCCGTGCGCCCCCTGTCCGGTAGTGAGCCACGAGCATCAGCAAGGTCATCGCGCTTACGTTCGATCCTGGTGCTCCCGACACACCAGGGGCTCCCGGCGCGCCATGCGCTCCAGGTACTCCTCCCTGCCGTCATGTCAGCGCCGGCCACCGGGTTGCGCCCGACTGTACTCACCGCTCCGTTGAGCCCGGGGGCTCCTTGCGTTCCTGGGGCTCCTGCAGAGAGAGGTCAAGAGAGGAGGAGGTGTGAGGAGCTCAGAGTCCTCACCAGCCGGGCCGGGCAGACCGTTGAGCCCAGCTGGGCCCGGCTGCCCGGGGATTCCTGGAGCGCCCATGGCCCCCTGAGGTCCAGCGATGCCGGGAAGACCGTGAGGTCCCATCGGGCCCACTGGGCCTGGCACGCCGTTCTCTCCTCGCGGTCCCTCCTGCCCTGGTGGGCCGGGGGGTCCTGGGGCTCCGGGCTGACCAGCCGGTCCAGACTGACCCGGAGGACCCTGCGGGCCCGTTGCTCCAGTCGCCCCGGGGCTCCCATCCTCTCCCGCAGGTCCGACTGGCCCACTAGGCCCTGGCGCTCCCATGGGTCCAGGAAGTCCAGGTGCCCCAGGGATCGAGTGTCCTGTCGCTCCACGGGGGCCACGAATTCCCGGGTCTCCCCGAGGCCCGACGGCTCCTGGTGGGCCGGTGAGACCTGGTGGTCCCTGCAGACCCATCGGGCCTGGCTTCCCTCTGTAGCCTCGCGGGCCCTCCGGTCCCGGGATCCCATCCCGACCTGCCAGTCCTGGAGGTCCTTGGGGTCCCATGGGTCCCATGGGTCCAGTTCTTCCTGGACTTCCCGCCACGCCCTGTGCATCTCCGTGTGAGGTGAAGGAGGAGAAGGAGGAGAAAGAAAAGGAGAATGGTCGTCACCTGCAACCCGGGCGGTCCCATCTTGCCTGTAATGGTGTCAAGTCATGGCCTGAAACACTGGGCAAGGGCGCTACTGCTCACCTGCTATTCCTGCTGGTCCCATGGGTCCTGGCACACCACGAGGTCCAGGAGGAGGCTGCTCCCGGCTCAGCCTCTCGAGCTCTCTTCGCAATCGATCATATCTATCGCACAACCTCAGGCTCACAGAAAGGTTGAACAACAAGGGAAACCGTTGCTTCAGTTGCGAGTTGCGCTTCTCCAGACCTTCGATCTCGTCTTGCTGCTCGCTGCGGATGGAGTGAAACTCCTTCTCCTCCAGCGCTTGCCTGGTTTCACTGTTTGATTGTTCAGACTCGCAAACGGGGCTTCCAGGAAAGCAAACTCACGTCAGCTGAGCAATCTGTGACAACCTGTCGAACTCCTCCTTGACCGTAGGGATGATTTGGGCTTGTGTCACTGTAACTCGAGGAGCTGCGCCTCTGTGCACTGTAACAGCGCCCAGTGGTCCTCCCTGTACGACGATACTCCCAGAAGCCTTCGAAGGCACAACATCAGCAGCTTCGTCGCTTACATCGGCTAGGGATTGCGAGAAGTCATGGTTCACAAAGTGCCCTGTCAGGGTCACGCCTGAACTAAGAAGAGAGGAGTTGTGCGAAATGGCGGTCTGCGAAGAAGGCAAATCAGTGAAACGAAAGCCAAGGGGATTCAATAGACGGAAAGCAACATGGCGAACAAGTGTCTTTGGCAACAAGAAACCCACTGAAACATGATTGATTGAAACTAGCTTTCTCGATTATTGTAACATCTACACTATCACAATCTCTTCATGTCTTCCAGCAGTTGGCCACAAAACTTCTCGCTGGTGTATGCCACACCCAACACCTCAGCCTTATTTCCCATCTTCGTTTCCACTCCTCCCTCACCCCAATCCTTTGATCATACCATCACCAACTTCTCTCTGCCTTCTCCATACTCCATTTATTCCTCCTCCATTTTCCTCCATAGTCACCTGCAGAGCCGCCATGATCAGCAACAAGGCGCTTCCTCCCGCCAGCCATCGCACAGGCTCCATGGCGGCTCTTCGCACAGACCCCACCCCAACATATTCCACAGAAAAATCTAGAAAAGGGTGGGTAGGTGTCCTGTTCTAATACTACCCCGTCAGAACATATGGTGTCAGGGGGTACTGGTCAGCCCGGGCTGTGCCTCTGGTGACGGCGAGTGCCAGTGCGGCGCAGCCGCCGCCGGGGGCCGGGCCGCCCGGCCCGGCCAGTCACTGATTACTAGTACCATACCTTTTACTCAAAGTTTAGTTAAAAATCAGTACGAAGGACAACTCGGGAGGCTTGACCCTGACACCGCGGCCATGCCGCCGGGCGCCGGCACTGCTCAGCCTGGCAGTGATGGCCGGCGGGCGGCCCCGGACCGTGCGGGCCCGGCGGGCCGCCGCCGGCGGCCCGGGCCCGGCGGCCGCGCGCAGCGGCCGGGCTGACCCCGGTCGGACCGTGAAAGTTACTGAAGGGACACCCCTACCCCAATAGATCCAGTTAGAAGTACCCCACCCTGTCTGTTCCTTCCTTCTCCGAGTCGGCCCCCCGTCTGCCACTGGCTTTACTACCCCCTCCTAATTGAACTGACCCTGTGATCTATCACCCATTTGCTGCGGAAGGATGGGGTACTATGAATACCCCACCCTATAAACAGAGGATAACATCTGGACCCACCTTGCCTGTATCAAGCTATAAAATACCTTTTCTCCTCCCTCCACCCCTCCTTTCGAACAAATTTTCGCGAAAGGGAAAGCTGCCCACCCCTACCTACTCAGTAGTACCCCTGTATTCCCACGTGTGCGAGAACCCCACGCAACATACGCCAGGTACCCGTACCCTTGACCTGATCCTCTACCACCGGTCAAAATTCAAGGGGAAATAACCCCTGGTCCCTCCTCCTTCTATGCCGCCGGCGCCGCCTTTTGGAACAGCGGCATGAGCACTGATTGAAAGGACCGCCCCCTTACCCCCTTACTTCCTTTATCTCCCTTTTCATCTTCCTCCAGTTTCTATCTTAACGCGTTTCTCCTTGTGCCATCCCTTCCTGCTGGGGTCTGTGGATTTCTTGAACATTTTCAAGGATCTCCTGAGGCACGGCAAAACTCAATTTTTGGGAAGTTTGCCAGCCGTATTGCTCCTTCCACTTGCTCAATTGCAAGATTTATCTTCCTTTCTCCACTCAGCATCGTTCTAACCTGGTGGAACCAATCGAGTACGCTACAGCGCTGTCATCGCTTCGAAGCCGCCTCCGTTCTCTTAGAATCGAGGTGAATCTTTGAGGTCAGTGCAGAGGTTCTGTTCTCCGAGAAACGAAAGAAAGATGCATGCTGGTAAGGATGATGGGACCTGAGGTTGTCTCGGAGAGTGGGCAAGGAAGACGAAGCTCTTAAGCGCAGACGATCGTCGTGGCTGGATCACCTCTACGCTCGCTGTTGCCTCCCTCCCATCTTCTTTTGATGTGTTTGGCAAGGATTGAAACAGTTTAGGGGATTTCAGCTAGATCACTATTCCATTATGAGATCGAGAAGCCTTTCTTTAGGACATACATCACGTTTGTGGAACTTTGTTGAAGATCCGGAGTTGGGTGGGGCAAAACTCAATCGAGGGCATATGGTGATTTCGAGGAAACGATGCAGTCAGCAAGCGATTCATCAAGCATCAGAAAGAAGGCTTTCAAGCTCTTCAACGCACAGGAAGATGGCAATGTCTCTGCTCATCATGTGTATTGTACCTTTGTTTGGAACCTGTAGCGCGAACATAGTCAATGAAGGCAGTATAATGCCATTGGCTGGTAGTGGCGCAGCGAGCTCTTCTCCAGCCTATGCGAATAGCTTTGAAATCTGGAACATGCACAACAGGTGAGATTCAATGTGATTCATGCCAGAGCATATGCATGTATGCCGCTTTCCTTTGTGACTTGTGCGTTCATCTCGTTGATTTGTCCAGTTCCAACACCTCGCAGCACACAACTGACTGGGCTGAACCTTGTGCAGACGAAGATTCTCGTCATCTCCCGTCACCTTTCGAGTTCAATGCGAGACGAAGTTCGGCTGGGAGGTGTGCGTGACCGGCGGGTGTGAGGCTCTTGGCTATTGGGACCCTCATCACGCGCTCCTTCTTCGGACGGACCCGGCTCGCTATCCTATATGGGAGGGAGTTGGGCAGTTGCCTGGGGGTTGCGATATCGAGTACAAATATTTCGTTCGACCGCGGGAAAAGTAGAGCTGCCGTGTTGATGTACATCGTGACGACCTCACATTGGGATTGCAGGTCAGAGCTTGCATGCTGGGAATCGTGCCCGAATAGGGTCGTTCGCACGGGGGTAACAGAGAAAGTAAGTGAAGCTGCTGTGGTTGCCGAGGATGCTCCTTCCATTGCTTTTGCTTCTTGATTCTCTGAGATTGGGTGGATCTTTGACTTCAATTGCTGACTGCGTTGCAAAGGCTATACTCCTTGTGACCGACCCGGACAAGATCACGCCGGAAGAGTTAGAGCGCCAGGTTGAAGAAAACCCAACAAATATTCTTTTCCATGATTGTCTTCACGCTTGTTGTGGCCTTTGGGTATTCTCATACTATGATTCCCAGGAGATGTTGACTTCGCAGTACTTCCGAGACTGGACGACTCTGTCGGCTCCTTTCAGTTCCACTCTGATCTTCAATACTGCCAGGCCTCAGGAGGTTCTCCTCTTCCTATCCCGCACGTCTTGCCTCTGCAAGCAGGTTCACACCTATGCAGGACTTCAAGGAGCTGCTTGAAGACGAAGCATTCCAGAGGCCATGCGGTGAGCTCCTCTAGCTATCGACGCTCCGGACTTACTCCCGCTCTCGCCCAGCTCTCGTGTTCTGCAGAGACTCAGGGACGGAGATCTTTGTCCGAGACTACGACACTCCGCAGATCGAGGGGTTGAACGGAAACGAGCCACTTCTCAGCACGAGACCGGAGGATGGAGCAGAGAATGGGGAGGACGATGAGGTTTTTGTTCATCTGGCGTTGGTGTTGGCATTAACCGATTCATCACAACAGGGCATAAGGTACACAGAATATCCTAATGAATCGGGATGGCGTGTAGGAACTGATGTAAATTCCTTGGACTAGCATGTTACTCTTCTCAGTCGAATTGTAATGAACTAGCCTACCCGCCGTTTCAGATCCGACTGGCACCATGTCACGGAGTGACTGTCACGGGCGCCAAGTTGAATTTCAGAACTCTCAAAACTTCAAGGCGGCCGCTTCAACCCGGCGTTGCCAACTTGAACTGGGTGAGGTCGGAAACACCGTGTGACAACTGGCAAGCCCGGGCTAGATAAACTGGGGCCTGACACTGGCATGCGATTGGTCGCGCCGCATTTGTACAACCGTAAGTTAAAACTGCCGTAGAAGTTGCTGCCCGCTGAGCTCACCTGCTGACAGGGCCGTCGCGCTGCGGCGTTGCCACTGCGGCGGCCGGGCCAGTCCGATGTCGACTCGGCGGACAGACGGCCCGAACTGCCTTCCGAATTCGCGCGGCCGGAACGGTCCAGTTTGTCACCGTCAAGTTGAGTCCTTGAAGTTTCCCGCCGGGCCGAGGCCCGGCGCGCGGCGGCGGCGCTGAGCCGGGCGAGTCACACAGTCAGTCACTCCCCCCCGGCCCCCGGGCCCGCCGGCCCGGGGGAGCGGTCCGGCCGCCCCCCGCGGCCCGACTCCTTGCCAGCGGCTCCGAGGCTCCGAGTCACTGGCCACGTGAATCTGCATCAGGCCATCCCCTCAGGCGTGTATGGACACGTATGGACCCACCTCCTATGTGTCGGTCAGATTGTAGACGATCGCATGGGTAGGTACTTGAAAAATTTCAGTGATACAATGAAATATTGAAAGTTAAATATCAAATTTTTATTTTTGGCAGCCAACTTGTTGATGGGATGTTGGTGTACGGGTGAACGAGGTACCGACTTTGCTAGGGGTGGGGTAAAGGGATTGAAGTCTGGAAGAAGGGGGTGGGTGAAAGCTCGGAGGGTAGGGAGGTACTTTGGGTAGGGGTAGGGTAGAGAAAGATGGGACACAGGGTCATATAGGACGCAGATAGTCTATGACTACCCGGTCCAGTCATACTTTCATAGAGACAAATTAATGGGTGGGTACTTATCATCACCCCTGATAGAGTGTCCGACAGTGGAGTAGTGCCTGTATTGGGGGTAGGGGTGAGGTGTAAAACTGAGAGAAGCGGTGGGGTGGGATAAGGACATGGGTTCTGTAGGGGATCTGATGATGGCTTGCAGGAGAATATGAGGTAGGGGTAGTCTAGGAAAAACGAAAGGGTGGGGTAATGAAGGGGGTGCCATCGATTCCATGGGGGTGGGGTGTCACTCACATCGTCCCCTTGGGGGTGGGGGTAGAGGTTCTGGAGGCTGATGGAAATTTTGTGACGCAAAGAGCTTAGGAGGAAAGCGAAGAAGCGAAGGCGAAGAAGCGAGGAGAAGAGGAAGAAGCAGGCGAGCAAGAACAAGACTAAGAACCCTCTCTGAGTACAAGACAAGGTCCGCACAAGTTAGCTCATCTATCCAAGTGCAGAAAGGATGGTCAGAACAAGTATTTTCGGATGGAACGGATCCAAGGTGGTGGCAGCGGGCGCCGTTATGGCGATGAGGTGAGTTCGTGTTCTCACTTATTGATGTGAATGTCGATCGATCTTCTTATGCCTCCGAGCTCTGTTCTGTGATCTTCCTGTGGATACTGATCTGCTCTCTGACTCTGCCACTGCCGCAGCCTTGGCGAGTGCGTAGCTTTCCTCCCTGCTTCCCCCATGCTCCTGCGTTCATCCACTTCAGCTCGTGCTGCCAGTGGAAGAATCATGGGGTTGAAGATGCAGGTCGCGCAGGTCAAGGATCGTGCTCAGGTTTGGCTGGAGCCTGTTAGATCGCATGGCATTGTTGACGGTGGTTTTCGATTCCGCAGGACGTTGGGGAGGGTCAGGCTGAGCAGCGTGCTGCCGCAGAGCGTCTCATGCAGCCATGCCCTGTGACCAAGTGGGGCCCGATGGACCTCGACGTGCTCGAGCTCCAGAAGCAGGTGCAGCAGATGGACCTTCCCAGCTTCCCGTTCGAGCTGCCGATGCCGAGCAACCTGGGAGACCTGGATGCTCAGGAGCGATACTTCGCCGAGAACAAGGAGAGCATCCTTGCCAGCCTGGAGAAGCACGGAGCTGTCGTGCTCAAGGGTTTTGACCTCACTAAGGAGCCCAAGGGCTTCGAGCGCATGTGGAAGGCCCTTGGCATGGAGGCTTGCCTTGACCCCCTTCACTCAGTCGCCGGCAGACCTGTCGTGAGCGGAGACAGTGCCGTGTACGAGGCTGTTAACAAGCCCTCCCGTGCCAAGTTCTACGTGGGAATGCACAACGAGATGGTTGGCAAGCGAACTGTCCGCCGCGCTGCCTTCGTGTGCTTCAAGGCAGCGGAGGTGGGCGGAGAGTTCATCATCACCGACGGGATGAGGATGCTCCGTGACCTGGACCCCTCCGTCCTCAAGAAGCTCTACGAGAAGAAGATCCGCTTCAGCTCTGCCGAGCTCCCCATGGGCTTCCTCGACAAGACGGTGAGTTCTCCCAGACTGACCGCTCTCATCTGTTGGGATGATCATCACCGTTGGCTTGCCTGTTGCATGTCACCGGTGCTTTTTTCTGATCTGTCCCTTCAGGGTCCGCTGCAACCCGTCTTGGAGCCCATCCTAAAGTCCGTCATTGGAGCCATCGTTGACATGAAGGTGAGTGCGTTGCTCACAAACCAATCCTGCTCCTCATGCCCAGCACTTCCTCCTTGCTCGCCTCCAACTCCATCCTCTCTTCTCCTTCTGAGTCGTCCTTGCTTCAGGTTGACTTCGAGGTCGACATGTTCTGGAACCGCGTCAACGGCGAGCGCGTGATCCAGGCGCATGCTCCTCCCCAGCCCCCTGTGATCCTCCACCCGGACACCAACCTGCCGACCTGGTTCTGCAACATTCACTCCCACTCTGCCACCCTCAGGGATGAGAGAGACGGAGTTCTTCCTGAGACCACCGGCGCCAGCCGCCTGAACAAGTCGGATGTGTTCTACGGAGATGGTAAGGAGTGGGACAAAGAGGTCAGCAGCTCATGTTTCGCGCACAGGCTCGCAGATCTCCAAGGAGGACTTGAAGCATGTCGACGAGGTCACCAAGAAGAACCAGGTCAACTCCCGCTCCTGCTGTTTCGTCACCATCTCCTCCTGCTGCTTCTTCACCATCGCCTTCCTCCTCCTCCTCCTCCTCCTCCTCCTCCTCCTTCATCTTCTGTCCTCCCCATCCCCTCCTGCCCGCTCACTACCCAACATGCCTGTGGGTCGTTCTTTTTTCTACCTCGCTGCTTTACTGGCATGTTGTCTGACTTTCAACTGCAGGTGTATGTGGCGATGAAGCAGGGAGACGTGGTGCTTATCGACAACTACCGTGCTATGCACGGCCGCAACATCTTCGAGGGAACCAGGAAGCATGCTGTTACGTGGTTCAAGTAGATTGGGCAGCAGCGGGTGTAGAAAGGAGTAGAGCAGATGAAGCCAGTGAACCGTTTCTTGACCAGCGATCCACTTACTTACTCGTGCAATGATGAATTCGCACACTCGCATACGGATGCGTGCATTCATGCATTCATTCATTCATTCATTCTTGCATTCATTCATTCATTCATTCTTCACATTCACTCGCGCACAGCTTATTGTACAAAGAGTTCGGGCTCTGGCGCTCTTCCTCCGTCAGCTCTTGACACCTTTACGGATCAGGAGGTTGTTGGCGTTGCCCTTTACCAGCTCCCAGTGCTTCGAACCTGGAGGAGTCCAGTAGACGTGTACAATGATCTTGTCTTTCGCAGGATTCACTTTGAGCTGACAGGAATGTCAACCCACTTGTCAACTCCACCGCACCAACTCACATGGTTGAGCGGAAGAATCATGTTGCTGGCGGTGTTGATGGGCGTCCCCTGCTGCCGCTCTGAGGACGACAACACGAGGAAGTTGGTGGTAGCGCAGTGCTCGCTCATGAAGACGATCTGCAGGAAGCGCATCAGCGATGTCAAGGCTGGGACAGGAGGGATGCCAGACCTCCTCGTTGTGGTCCCGAAACTTGAGGATGAGCTCGCTGATCAGATCGCTCACAGTTGCAGACGAGGAGCAGTGTAGCTCTAACTTGGCATGCGCTGAGAGCTTCGAGCTGTGACAAAAGACGACTACCTCCTGCAAGCCCGTCTCCTGCTGCGGCAGCTCCTCGTCGGAGCCCGCTTCCTCTAGGGAGAACTTGGAGATCTCAACGTCGGAGCTCTTCCGCGACAACTTCGCCGACGCTGTTGAGGTCTTGTTTGTCATGACTGATTCGTGCTGGGGGATATTGAGGCAGACGGAGGAAAATCTGGAGAAAAACGTCAGCAAGGTGAGGATTGAAAGTATTGTCCATTGTGGTGTTGTGATGGGATCGGGCACTTGCAGCCCCTAGAGATCGTGACCTTCGTGCTTTCGTTAAATTAAATGTGTTCGTCTTTAGGGTTTCATCAAGACGGTGTCTATGCTAGTTTGACATACCCAAAATGATCTCTCACTGACTTTATCTTCCAAATGACTATCACAAAGATCCACCATAAAAGACCTTCATCCATACCATCGTACAATTTGCTATCGATGACAAACAACTCGTCAACTGCGACTTGCTGTGTTTGTTAGGTTTGATGGGTTCGATTACATCATGATAGTGACCAAGCTCATAATTATCTTAATGTATCATTCTCTTATCTTATCACTACGATGAATTTCACACAGGATGATTCGAGACAAGATCGTATCGAAGAAGTGATCGATTTCAGTGTGCTGCAAAGAATTCGTAATGTATTTTCGTGGCCATCACCGTGTTATTTTGACCAAGGTAAGGGAAGGGAAAGAACAACAGAGAGAGAAGAAAGATGCATCTACAGGAAAAGCCTACTACACTAGCCCATTGAGCTCCTCCTCCACCACCACCACCACCACTTATTCTCCTCCTTCACTGAGCAATATCTCACTCCTTTTATTCCTATCATCGGATTGTTTTTGTTGACCACCCCGCAACCTCCTACCCCACCCCCCATACACAACTTAACTATTTTTTACCACCAGTCAATTACTCTTATATGACCGGGTAGTGTAGCTATTAACCTCCAACCACCACTCTTTACCAGGACTGTCGGACCCCACCCCTGAGTTCTGTCAGCATTACGGCTCCGACTACAGCCTACCCCCTCACACCTGGAAGTGACTACGTTCACTTCCACCCACCCCTGCTTTTCCCACCCTCTATACCCTTAACACCTCCGGTTGTATGACCCCTCCCGACATCCGGGGTTTATCACTAGCAAGTCTATAACGTACCGGTAATATTTCCCTGGGATTCGTGGTAATTTGGGGGTGGGGGTATTTGACGTGTAGGTTGACTGGAGTGACCACCTCACGTACATTGTCGATCCGATCATCAGCCCCACCCCACCCCCCGGTTACCTCATTGCCCTTTCTGTCCTGTGCCAACTTGAAGGGACTTCAATACTTCACAACAGGGGGGTGGTTACTACCGTGGGTGACCCCGACCCGACAGACAGGACTAAAACCTGGGGGTCCTAGGCTGACTACCCCACACCCACCCCACCCCTGTCGCCGGGGGTCTCGGCGACTCAGTTCACAAGGAGCCGGGACGGGAGTCACGATCGGACCCACCCCATCGGATGATCTCGTACCCCATTAAGGAAGGAGAAAGTGGGATACTACTAGGCCTAATAGTAGAAAAAAAGGCCGGGCTTCCGAGTGAGGAACGCGGCCGGTTGAACACTAGTTACTCTGTCACGGCGCAGCGCACGGACGGGGGCCGTCCGCCGGCCCGGGCCGGGAGTCGCGCTACTGTGCCGCGGCCGCCGGGCGCCGCGGCCCGGCCGGGCCGCGGCCGCACTGAGCCGGACCGTACGGAGTCCTGGCCGGGCGCATCACGGTGAGCCCCCCGGACTCCGGGAGCCCGGGGAACCGGCCGGGCCCCGGTCCGATGTCGGATCCGGCCACGGGCACTGGCTCCAGGAATTCCGAGCGCGGCCCCCGCGGCGGGTAGCTAGCCCTGCAGCCGCCGCCCGACCCGGCCCGTTTTTTTTGTTTTTACTTTTCACCGGCCCGGAGTGAATTTTCAGGCCCGGCCCGGGCCCCGGCCGGCCGGTGCGATTTCATGCTACAATTCAGATACCCCTCCTTTCCCCTGATATTTGAGGGGTACTGAAGGGCTATTTGAAATATGGGTAGTGTTCCGCTGGGGGGTAGGGGTTGGGAGAGGGGGTAGCGCGTGGCGGCTATGGCGTCGTATGACTCCTCCAAGGGGCCGCAGGTGAGGAGGAGGAGGAGGAGGAGGAGGAAGGAAGAGGAGGAATGCAGAGAGGGAGAAAGAATGAAGGGTGCCTGAAGCAGGAAGGAGGGGCAGAGAGGAAGCAGAAGAGGAGAAAGTGGTGGTGGAGATGAGGGGTTGAGAATCAGGAGGCTTGACGTGGAGGGAGAGGTCAACCCACGAGGAGACTTGAGCGAACGTGTCAGATATGAGGGAAGGGCAGGTTCTCAGTCATAGTATCCCTTCAGAAGAGAATCTGCTCTTGCGTAGTGAATGCTTGGAGAGAGGAGATGTCGTGGATTGGTCTGACTGGGTCGTCAGGGGAGGATTGAAGACTACTACGATGTTGGAAGGTTGCTCATCCCGTTCGACAAGAAGCGCAACTGATTGATCTTTGAACAGTCGACTTACTGCCGATGCATTCGGTGCAGGAGGGGAAGTCGTCCGCGGGTATTTCGAAGCAAGCTAACTTGCTGTGTTGGATATTGACTTGGCCGCAACATTTCAGCATTAGGAAATCAGACCAGAAGGCTTTTGCGGTTAAGATTATCCGATATGGCAGGACAAGGGAAGACAAGCAACAGATTCAAACGCTGACAGAGGTAGGACACACTCTCATTGCCCGCTAGCTCAACGAGGTCGGCAGGTAAATCACCCTGGTATCATTCGGCTTGTAGATTGGTTCGAAACACCGGAGATCCTCTACGTCGTGATGGAGATGGCGCTGGGAGGAGAGATGTTTGGTAGGATAGCAGAGCGAGGAGCCTTCACCGAGCTGGAAGCGGCAAACGCGTTCCGCCAGGCAAGAGCCTACCGTGCAGCCGTCGAGTGCAAATGACGTCTGGCCCGCTTGCAGATCCTGGAGGCAGTGGGGCACATGCATACGAGGGGAGTGGTTCATTGCGATCTCAAGGTAGGACGCGAAGTCTCCCTGCTGTCCGGCTGTGTGAGAGACATGGCAGCCCGAGAACATTCTCTATGAGGACGACACGGATAGGCAGATCAAGATCGCAGATTTCGGTTTTGCGCAGGTGGAGCCCTCCCCTTCCTTCCGCACCCTTCCTCTCCTTTGATCTTCTTGCTCTTTTCTCTCCTCTCTCCTCCTCTCTTTCGTCCCCTACGATTCTTGATCGACTTCCACTTTCGACTTGTGGAATGTCTTGCGTGCTCGTTGAAAGACGTGGAGGGTGACCAGACTTGGTGTTGCAGTTCATACCAGGCGGCTCCGACGGGGGTCAGACCCTCACGAAGCAGCTTGGAACTCTCAGGTTCTTTTGCTCTGTCAGCTTCACGATCTGAAGTTTGCTGATGCCAGCTACACTGCGCCGGAGATTTTGATGGGCATCGGATATGACACTAAGGTAAGGAGGGAGGGCCATGGCCACGTAGGAGGGTTGAATCAAGGAGGAGGAGGGGCAGGAGGGAGGAGGGAGCAACAGCAGCAGCAGCTCCGGGTGGGATGGGTGGGGACAACCAGGAGAACAATGTGGAGAATTAGGAAAGCAGACCAGGAAAGAGGGAGAGGAGATGGAATGTAATTGATTGAGGGGATGAAGGCGGATATGTGGAGCTTGGGCGTTATTCTCTACATCCTCTTGTCTGGTATCCCTCCTTTTGGGAAGAGACGAGGAGAAACGGATCATGACGTGAAAAGAAACATTTGCCGCGGAAATTGGAGGTCGATTTTTCTCCCTCCATCCCTCCACTCCCTCCCTCCCTTCCTCCCTCCCTCTCACCCTCCCCCCTTCCCTTCGCCCCTCCTTCCCTCACTCCTTCCCTCCTTCCCTTCGCCCCTCCTCCCGTTCACCGCCTGCTTCAGGTTCTATGATTCACATTTCCGGAATGTCTCGGAGCAGGCGAAGGACCTAGTCAAGTAAGGGAGCGACAGTCTCTGTACCCTCCTGCCTGATGCTCCTTGCTCAGGTGCCTGATTGTGTTGGATCCCAAGAAGAGGCTCGACTATGAACAAGCACTCTCCCACTCTTGGTTCCAGGTTCTTGTCTACTTCCTCCGCCTCTTCCCTCCCTTCCTCCTCTTCTGCTCTCCTCATCATCTTCCCCTGCTCGCCTCAACTCCTACTTCTGCACCTGCTCCTTCTCCTGCTCTCTGTGCTCCCCATTGTCATCCCTTAATCACCTATCACCTTTCTGTGTCTTTCGGATGTCTTTCTCTCCCTGTTGCTCTCTCTCGCTTCCGATGACGGGGAGGTTGACGCTGCTCGACCTGCCAGGGCTATGCTCCCGAACGAGCCCTGGGCAGCGAGTACATCATCGAGCTCGGAAACTTCAACGAGAGGAGAGGGATGTACAAGCTTGCCTCCCACGCGCTCGCAGGTCTTGACCGCTGCTTCCTGCCTTCCCTCCCTCTTCCTCGCTCCCGACAGCTTTTTTCTCATCCTCGCCTCCCTTCCACCTCACGCTATCCCCTCCGTGACTGTCGACATCTCCACGGAAGGAGCCGGCTGACGAGTCGTGTGCAGGGCTTGTGTCTCGTTTCGCCCAGCCGGACGCCATCGCCGCCATCTCAGCAGATTCTCACTCCTTGAGTCGCGTGCTGCAGGAGGGGAGCATACAGGTGATGCGGCCCCCCAGGTCAAGAAGCAGCTGACGAGCGTGCTAGCCCATCATCTCCCTCGCCTACTCGAAGCTTGTGGAGGAGAGGAAGAGCGCGTGTAACGCAATCGCGAACCTCGCGCTGAGGGAGCAGGTGAGGCATCCCGCTGGCAGGATCCAAGAGCAGGAAGGAGGCCATGGGAGGGGCAGGAGCGTCAGGAGGGTAGGAAAGCGGCAGATCAGCAAGGGGAAAGTGCTCGAGAAGGAGGGGAAAGGAGGGAGAGGAGGAGGCTAACTTGACTTGTTGCTCTCTTCAGTACCAGCAGATGGTCATTAAAGAAGGAGGAGTGCGGAGGTTGAATCAGCTCGCACTTAAAGAGCCTCCCCAGCCCATCGACATCAGGCAAGACAGCAGGACTGACTGAGACGCGCCCGTGGCTGACCTGCCGTCTCTTCCTTCTTTCTCTCCCTCCTCCTCCTCTTCCCCTGCCATCTCTTCCTCGTCTCTTCCTTCTTGTCTCCCTCCTCCTCTTCCCTTGCCGCCTCCACCCTCCCTCATTGCTTTGCCCTACCTCTCCTTCCCCCCCTACCTTGCTTTCCTCCTCTCTCTTCCCACTCCGACCCAACTTCTTCTCCTCCCTTCTTCAGATTTTTCGTCGCTCTGGCCCTTGCACGCTTGGCCAAGAACCCGGAATGTAGACAGGTGCGTAGGAAGGAATCCTTATCGTCTCTGCCGACTGACCTGACGTGCAGTTGCTGCTCTCCCCCAACATCAACGCCGATCCCAACTGCTCCACTCACCATGCGCTGATGCGGCTCTCACAGGTGTGAGGCATACCTCCTCCTCCTCCTCCTCCTCCTCCTCCTCCTCCTCCTCCTCCTCCTCCTCCTCCTCCTCCTCCTCCTCCTCCTCCTCCTCCTCCTCCTCCCTTTCCCTCCTCTTCCTCCCCAGGCTCCCTTTCCCTCCTCTTCCTCCCTCCTCCTCCTTCTCAACTTGTTCTCTACCTACTCTCCTGGCACGTCTTGACCTGGCTCTCACATATTTTTCAGTCCATCAATCCTTCTCGGGTGTCGCGGCAAGCAGTTGAAGCCTTGTCGTTGTTAGCCTTGGAGGAGGTAGGAGATGCAAACCCCCTCCCTCCTCCTCCCTCCTTCTCCTCCCTCCCTCCCTCTCCTCCCTCCTCCTCCCTCCCGCTCTCCGTCCCTCTCCTGCCCTCTCCTCCCTCCTTTCCTCCCTCCCCTGCCCTTTCCTCCCTCCTCCTCCCGCCCTCCCTCCCCTTTGCTCTTCTTAAATGCTACCCGTAGGAGTTACATCAGCAGCTTGTTGCGGGCGGCATCCTTCCTGCTCTACTACGTCAATGGTCCGTTCCTGTCTCCTTCTCTTGTATCTTTTCCTCCTCCTCCTTGCAAGATTTTCCCTGCCGAAGAATGTTTCTTTCCCTCCCCCTCCTCTCCCTCCCCCTCCTCCTGCCATCCTCATCCACCATCGATCCTCCAGATTCCTTCTCCTCCTCATCCTCTCTATCGCCTGCCCCCCTTCACCTCCTCTAATCTTGAGAGCGCAGCGATCCCAACCAGCCTTCAGAGTTTCGACGAGGAGCGCTTCAGGTGCGAATCTTGCGTCCTTCCCCTGCCATGTTGATTTCTCGCAGGCACTCCGATGTATCTTCTCCTGTTCCAGCCAGCAGACATCACAGGTGAGAGAGACAGAGAGACAGAGACAGAGACAGAGAGGTCAAAAGAAAGGGGGAGGGAGAAGGGGGGGAGAAGATGGTGGTGATGGTGGTGGTTAAGCAGGAGATAGGCGACTGTTATAGAGTGGGGAGGGAGAGGTGGAAGCGAACTAGAGGCTCTTGTTGCAAGTCGAGTTCAAGTATGTTGCAGAACTCGGTGAGCGTGAAGGAGCTGAACTTGGAGATCAACAAGATCTACACTGATTGCTCGACGAATATGGACTCAGCGGTAAGAGGAAGGTGAAGAGGAACGGAAGGAGGGGAAAGATGGAGGGACAACGGGGGGAGCTGGCTGGAGGAAGCAGGATGGGAGGGAGGAGGAGCAGAGGCTACAGATTCGCCTTCACAGCCTCGAGCTTCACCTTCTCATTACCTCGTGCTCTTGGCAGGATCTGGCAACAGCGAAAGATGCCAAGGAGAAGTTGCGGGGGATGTACGGCCTGATGCAGATGCTGCAGTACTACCCCATCTTCCCTGCCTCCGCCTGTAGCTCACAACTTGTTGCAGTGAGGAAACATTGATCAACGAGCTCAAGACAGGTCTCCTCATCTTCCTCTTTCCTCCTCCTCCTCCTCTTTACTCCTCCTCCTCCTTCTCCTCGTCCTCCTCTTTACTCCTCCTCCTCCTCCTCCTCAAGGTCCGGTCGGTGGGTACTCGTCTGTACCCCTACCCCAACGTGTGAAATCCTCCGATCAGCAAAATATTCCCCGGCCCACCCTGTCACTCATGGGCGGGCCGGCGAAAACCCGGAGGTCGAATATGTTTTTGAGCCTCGGATTATACGGGCGGGGCGGACTCGCTATTTTGGCAAGCCCTTGTTCAAACTTGAAACAAGGCGGGACGAGCGAACAGAGGAAGGGACGGGATGCAGCTGAAGGGGGGAGAGGAAGAGAGCAAGGGAGGGAACCCCAGGACATTTTTAT